TTTCAGCTTTTGAGACAAACCTTTTAAGAAATAAGGCATTTTGAAAACGAACTGAATTCTTGACAAAGTTTGTAAAACATGCATTCAAATTGTATAACTTGTGATTTTTAATTTTTATTACAAGCCCTTTCCTGATAGTTACCTTTTCTCAGTTTGTTTCTTGTTTTGCAAATTTTGGATTTCGATGTGAAAGCTGAAATGTAGGGCTTCTAAAACGCCAGCTCCTGTCATCGGATTGACTCGTAATCCCACCCTTGGGGTGGCCAAATGGTTCCTGTCCATCACGTGGGTCATCAAAAGCAAAACTCTGAGAGGGGTCCTGCCCTAAACCATGACCCAAAGCACCTAACAACACTTAAATCACCCTCAATATACCCCACACATGTACTGTGTACATTACACATTCACAAGGCATCAAATGTATTCCCTAAGCATATCTTGGCAGATGACATGCACATTTTTGTTCCAGTACCAGTTGACATTTTCAAGACAATTAGCAATGACATTGGATAGTCTGGGGAATTTCTTTGGACAGTGGGGGTTCCCGACAACATGCTGCATCATTGTACTTGTAAGTTGTAGAGTACATGTCTGTGTCTATGTACAACTCTGTGGCAAATTCCACTGAGGGACACGTATCCAGCCTGTTGCCAGCCGTGCACTCCTGTGCTAAGCCTTTTTTCAGCCCTTACAACATCATTGCCAAAAGTTGACAGTCGTCACATCAGCTGAGTGCTGACCAACGAAATGGCAGCATGAGGGACTGGGCACAATATAGTGGACCACTTGATAGAAGGCATGCAATTATGCATAGAAATCATTTCAATGCCACTTTCATAGTTGTGCATCCACTTTCATATTTGGTCATCCACTTCAATAATAAGTTCATCCACTTTCATTTAACCTCTTTCATATTTTATACACTTTGAGCAGTTTTGTATACATTTGTATGCATTTAAAAAATGGTTTGCACAATTTGCAATTTTACTTGTGATTTACTGTACAAGTGCATTCACATGTGGGCCAAGCATATTAGGTGTCTCAGTCTCAGTATTAAGCTGAACATGCACATGTAGGACATGTACACATTGTAAAAGGTTTTAAAGCAGAAGCCTTCTTCATTTGTGATGTGATCAAGCTAAATGAGTCGTTTCTCTTGAACTTTCATTTGGAGATACAGGCCAACATACATGTAGGGCCACTTCATCACATCACTTCATCACATCTCTTGGTGTTCCAACTACCATAATTTTTTAACTAAAGATGGTATCAGCATGCTGTTTTTACAGTAGTAATGCTGAGATTGTGCTCTTTTCAAATCTGTAAAAAAAAAAACCCAATTGACCAGGGTCGACAAATGACTCATTTAGCTTGATCCCATCACATGTATGTAACTAACATGTTCATGTGCTCCAGTTCTCCTGGTTCTCCACCTGTTTTGTCACTCCTAATCAGCCTAGAATGTGACTATAATGGGATTTTTCTTCATTTCCAGGAATACAGGGTTAGTGGAAGTTTACCTAATTGTGTAGTCCCGGTAGGACATCCTATTCAGCAATGTGGCCAAAAAAAATAAGCCGCAAACGTGGCACTGGAATTTTGTGGTTTAAAATACAAAGCACATGCATGTACCGGTACCTTCACATAAATGTGAAGTTTGTGTGGGCAATTTTATGCCAAAATATCGATGCAGAGTATGGATCGGATCTGTTGTGTTTACTTTAGGCTTTCCACAACTTGAACACTTTGAATTGAGTTTTCAATTTTTTTTGGTCTATGTAATTTGTGCTGCTGTACTGAAAATCCACAGAAAGGTTCGTAATGTGTGGATATAGGCCTACAATGTACATATTATGGACATGTAATCCTCCATAGAACCATGCATCATTTGCATGCATACATGAAACTCAAAAAGGGGATGATTTATTACAAGTTGCAACCACAGATCTTCCTGTTATTGCATATTTTGAGTAATGCATGTCGTAAATCATGGCTTCCTTCATTTTGGCAAAAATCCATGACAACATGTACAGTGTCCCTATGTAATGTTGATTGGGTTGTCCTTACAAGGACAATGCTGGCTGACCACTAATTGTTGATGATTGTGGTCAAGGTTTGTGGTCAGGCACTTGGGCCCATGTCCACCCATCCCAGCCTGTGGTCTGGGGTAGGTGTGGGTGTAGCCTTCACTTGATTGCACAGGCATGGTGTTTGTGTCAAGATTGTAAATGAGAGTGTTACTGATACTGTACAGCTGATGCACCACTTGCCAAGTCAGTGCTCTGATGTACCATGGATGTACATGTACCATGGAGGAAGAAATGTACAAAGTAGCAGCATGCTTGAAGCATGGATGAAGCAAAAGTGAACCGTTGCAGTGTATGACATGCTGAGGACCATACAGACATGTGGTGTCCACCTTGAATTATAGGTTAGGTTCAATAAAAGTTTGAATGCAATTTCCTTGAAAACAATTTCCTGGCAGCATGTACATAAAATTCCATGTGCGTGTATTGTTCAAAGATAATCCGAAGTGGACATTTTTTTGATCATGCATTACAAAGTGTAAAGAATATTTTCAAAGGTTTGTGACAGCAATGTACATAGTCTTCATGGTACGGTAGGCCTACAGTTCAAGTCACACTAAAAAGTGCATTCTGTACATTGTACACAATGTACGGGTACCGTGACCGGTCATGTACCATACATGATGTATATATAATGGTATGATTTAAAAGCTGGTATTAATTATTAAGGGTAATTTAGGCGTGGCCAGCCAGGCAAGCAGGCCATGCACTACAGGTGTGCTGGTTTACAAGATGTTTATGGCCTTCACTGCACACTGTACAAATAAATCTACGGTGCAGTACTGTATCAGTGTGTATTTTATGACATGTGCACAGTACGTTGACATGTACTTCAACTTGCCCCTTCAGTGATATAAAATTTGGTTGAAATAAACTTGAAATACATGTAGGCTTTGAATTGTTTAGGCTTGGACCTTTGTCATTTGGTGACCTAGACAAGTTGTGGTGGTCAGTCCATTGTATGCCAAATGTAAATTTCCAGTTATAGGCCTACCGGTAGTATGAACATGTAGTTCCATTATATTACTCAGGCTTTTGAGAGCGGTGCAGTGAATTTATGAAAAGTCAGAAATTCAAGTAAAAGATGTCCTCTTTCAATATCTTAAGACTTGAAATTGCTTCGTAACAGCTTGAAATTACACACATAGCCTCTATAGTTAGCCGCTGCAGTCACTTCTCATAGACTCGTGTGTAATCCCAAGCCACAGCCAACTTGCCAAGTAATTGGGACACGACCTTAAAAATGTAATGCATGTCAATTAAACACACGGATACGCACGTGTGTATGGACAAAAGTGCAGAAGTACATGTACACGTACTGTGATGTACATGTATATTGTACATACCATGGAGCTATTGGTCAATGTTGTAATCAGTTAATTGATGGGTATTTCCCCTGTCACAATCAATGATGAGTTTTAAGCAGTTGTTCTGCAATCAATCCTCGGTATTGTTGCTCCACTCTCTCAGCAATACCGGTAGCTTCTTAATCCCAGTAATACCGACAAATTCCGCAGCCAGCCTACAGACAGACGGTGTCATTAAGTCTGAGCAAACAGCTAGACTTGCTCTGAAGTCTCTGAGACTTAAAATACATCTTGAGAAAGATCCATTAGTCCTGTGAAACTGTTAAACTTGTTACAAATCAGTGATGAAGCAAGGCTTGCATCCAGCATCTGTGACCCTCAGGCAGCCTATTGATGCAGAACAAATTCAGACGTGAACATTGATCAAAGACATGAGACTTGGACAAGTCTATAGTCAAGGGAACTGGCGGAGCTGTGAAGTAATAATGGGTCGTCTGGGCTGACTCATCTTGGTCTTGTGTGAGCCGCTGCGCTCGGTGATAAATTAAGACGGAACACTCAGCGACTGCCGACATTGACACATTCATGCATAAAAATAGCCAAACATGCCAATGTACAACATGTACATACGTACTAGAGTGTTCAAGCAGACTTAATGGAAATTTAGTGCACTGACACTGTCAGATCCAATAGTGGTCTTGCATAAATTACATATTGTGTACATAAAGTGGCTTGGTCGATATTGTACCAGAAAGTCCAGTCATTTATAATGCCAAATCAATCTTGCCTTGATAGAAAATGCTCACAAAAAAGACCTGAAATTTTTTATTACACTACCAAAACGTAGATGGTTGTACATGTATGTATCCTGTAGAATCCATTCAGAGTCTAACAAATCCTGACAACTGGATCTATTTTTTTTTGGGGGGGGGCCTCACTGCTCAAGGGTTCAGATCAACAAAATGCATAAGTTACAATGTGTCATGGCTATTGGGTTGTTCTGACTTCCAACTTACAGGCCTATCCAGAGCATACATTTATAGTCTTATTAAATGTATACATTGTACAGATGTACTTTCTAATAGTACCAGCAACTATCTCTGTGTTTATGAAACGTATTATTGTAAATATCCCAGTGCAAAGTGTGTCAAAGTATTTAAACCACAGGACACTTCCTCTATGGCAAGCATGTCTCTGTGTCAGATCCTAGGCAATGACACTGAACCGAAGCCAAAGTACAGTGTACATGTATGTATGGTACTTGTACGAGTTTGTCAGATCAAACACAATTTTCTGTGTCATGTTGTACAGTTTCCTACAAATAAAAACAATTCACAAGTGTTTGATCTTTTCAGTTTGCAGTACTAAATCAGTACAAGAGTGTGGAAAAGACAATCCTGTGTAAATTTGGTGGCTGCAGAAGTTTACATACACTGTGCTCACACGCAATTGTGTACATGTGTTCAGTATTTAAACATTTTGCAGGTGGCTACAAAAACAAGACAAACAAACCAGTAATAGTTGATATTGTTGAATGTCGTTGCATTGACAGAAGCCTGTCTTTATTGACATTTCTTCTGTTTTGTACTTTATTGTTTCTCTCCAGATATATCAAAGAACCGATTCATGGAAGTTCCGTACGAACTCTGCGAGTACGTCTCCCTGGAGAGACTAAACTGCTACAATAACGCTATCAGGACGGTGCCTGACGCATTCGCTAGGTTAACTATGCTTACATATTTAAATTTAAGGTGAGTCAAGTCAAATGCAGTCCATTTTTTATGATGGGGAAATTCAAGTAACGGACACTGTGTTCCCCCTCCCCCCCCCCCTTCCCCCACCCGTCACTCCCAACAGGAATATGAACTTTTCCTGGAACCATGGCTCTGAACCATTCTTGATTGTTAAAATGGAAACGTCAAAATTTCACAAACATGGCATGAGCTTGCAGAATAAATCTGCATTTGATACGTGATACTACCCATGGCATTCATTTCCTATTGTCAGATTCAGCAGACGGACAGTGCATGTTAGATTAGAACAGGGAAAAGGAGTGGAATTACCTCAAAAATGAAATTCCAAAATTTGTTCAGGACGTGATTAAGTTGCAGATGAGCTTGGAAACACAGGGAAAAAAGGACTTTTGCCGAAAAGCGCAGGGTTTGAATTTCAGTGAAAAAAAAAGCTATACCACCAGGCTAGTACAATAGTTCTACTAGCTCAAATGTCTCAACAGAGAGCAGTGTGAATCAAAGCAGGGAACGTTACATTGATTTGAGTTTATTGTACAAATTTCTGTTTCAAAAGGTTCAGCAGACTACTGCAAACTTGTGCAAAACTCAACATGTTCTACAAATTGTGTTTGCACTTAACGCCACACCTGAAATACCAGTTGGTAGTTTGAATGATAGCTGGGGTACTTTTCATTCCCCTGAATTCGGTAATGGAACCTCCAGGTTACCATTTCAAATCTCAAGTGTTGAAACTGACTTCAGGACATTAACCTTTCTGGCCTTTTGAGATAATAAGCCGTTTGATTGAAAACACACATCCACTTACATTTCTTCACATGTATATTTAAAACAAGCACATTCTCAGACAAAACCATTATATGAAGAGCATGACCGATACATGTATGTTAATTTCGTAAAAAATTCTACATGAATGCGTATGTCTGCGTTGAAAGGTTTTAAAGAAAATTATCATTCAACACACATAAAATCTTTTCAAAAAAGATATTCACTATATGCAAAGAGAAGCACTCCTTCATTGATTTTTGTTACGCCCTTAAATGGTAATTGAATATTCTGGTTTCATGGCTACATTTCACGCCTCTCCTGAGGCGCCATTAGTGGGGGGCGTATCAGTTTGCATGGCAGCTGGACATTGATACGTCCCATATGAGTTGTCCGATGATTGGACATGAATGATGGTTCTTGTGTGTAAATCTGGGGAAAAAAATTATACAGGTTGCCCAATAGACACTCGCACACCTTTTTGTCTAAATGGTGCAAAATGGATGACTTTAGTCCACAAGAGGGCTCACTTGTGTAATGTGGGTTCTCTTCAATAAATTTACCATGAGATAACCTCTTTAAGCTTAGCATAACATTACAAACCACAATTCTCTGGTCAGGGACGTTTTTGGGAAGTGGTCGCAATCAAATTGATAAGATGTCACAGATAAAGCAGTCATAATCCGGCATTACAGATTACATTTATACGACACATACTGTAACAAATACAGTCTCAAGTGTCTAAACAAATATTGATACATGTAGTACTGGTACTACACCTAATATGCATACTTACATGTACATGTACATGTACATGTACATGTAATAACACACAAAAGTTATTCTGACATGTATACTGTACATTGATAAAACCTTCATATTATTCTAAGAAATGATTCTGTGAGCTTTTCCAAACTATAAATGTACTCAAGGTTTAGACCTAGTCATAATTTCAAAACTAATTTGTTGTTGCACTCAGTCCACTCGAGGCAAAATAGGCTTTAAGGGTGACGAGAACCGAAAATTGCTATTGTGACCCAAGGATCGGATTTCAGGCCCAAATCCAATTATATGGAGAGTATTGATTCTATTGAACTGTAGGGCATTGGGGCAGATTACTCTATTACACCGTCATTGTCTGATCATATTAATAGACATTCCAGAGATGATTAAAGGGGCAATGTCTGTTACTACAGTGCAGATAATTTAGGATTAATATGAACAGTCACAGACAGTCAAAAGTTCAATCCTCTTCCCCTGCAATGCCTTTATACACAGGCTAGTCACCAACAGTCAGATCAAAATTCAAGCAAGCACTCTGTCTAGTCCAATTCCATTTGACAGACAAAAGCAAATAGGTGCCAGTACAGCTGGCTTATCAATCACCAACATGTACAACATGTACTGTCAAGGCATAGCTGTATCAAGTTACATAAACAGTCACAGCCAGTCAATCCTGCTTTAAGTAGGCTGGGAGCTGTTAATTACTTGATTGATTTTGACTGCTGGGATAGCTGTGTTGAATTTGACAGCCAGAGAAGGAGGGTTAATACAAGATTGTTTACTTAAATTATTATTTAAGTTTGTCATTTTCATCAGTTTGAATTGTCAATTTTGTTGTTTGAAATCATCATCAGTAATACTCAATTTTATGTTCTTACATGTAATTGTTTTCCATTTAAACGAAAGAAAGAGTAATTTTTGTAAGTTTTCAACCCACTGTTTGCCCTTCAACTTCTCGACAGGTGATTTGTGATGAGTATAGCATAGAGGTGACATAAAAAGGAGAAAGGTTCAGAAAAGGCCACGACCCGCCATTGACTTACATAAACATCACATGCTTGGTGTATTGTCAGGAGGCATTTGGTCAGATAGTATTGCCATCACTTTCAATACACATACAATGTAGAAGCTAAAAATATATACCCAACCATTCCATACATGTATACACCAACATGTATTAATCTTGAGTTTTGTTTAATTGAAACTGGAGCCGTGGACTAGGCCTGACAAAAAAAGAACTGAATGTGGACATGGCCTAACAAAAACAGAACTGAATGTGATCATGATAAATAACAACACACCGAGTGAGGTCATATCACTTTCCATTTTTAAATTGTTTCAAAGGGTCACACCGGAACTTGTAGGGCTGGGTGGAGTTAGATATCAGTGACTGATAAAATATTGATCATTTCCTTGATTGGAATGCATCCGTTAATCTGTTTTCTTAGCGATATTCTTTTCTCCAAACGCTGAAATAACTTACAGTTCTCACGAACATGTACATGTCTACATGAACATCATAAAACTTGAGAGCACCGTGCTCCATTAATCAAATGATATATTGTACATGCACTTACTATACGTGCAGTTTGTAATGCTATACAGAACTACTCAACAGTTTGGATGGATATATGGAAATGAAATATTACAGGCATAAAAATTTATAAATAAAACTCTTCATTTTACATATTTTTATAAAAATGTTGTGGGGAAATCCCTTCATTGAAAGCTAATTGTGGACTGGTTGTGAATTGGACAGAAATTTTTCCACTTATTATTTGAACAAAATCATGACGAAAAGCTTTGCAAATGTATTGAATGCATGTGTGCCGATCCTATTTTTGCAGTGGTTTTATATTCAGTGCTTTCAAAAAAAAGATAGTTTACAACAAAAAGGTTCTTCAACTTCCTGTACATCAGTGTACTACACTGAGTGTGTTCATGTACATTTATGTACTGTACTACATGTACAAGAATCGAGCACTGTTTTAATGAATGTTGGATTTCATGATGACATTCATGGACGTGACCATGGACGTGACACAACCTTGATTGACTCTCAGTTGTAAGCTCTCGTGCTCGTAAATCCAGCAGAAAGAACTGGTAGGCTACTAGATTTGTTTTTGTACTTGCATGTCTGAAAATGCCATACACTGTGCATTCTCCCTTTTTTTCGGTGATAGGGTCGTAAATTGGTTAATAATAAACTGACAGCTTTTTAACTTTTCGCTACGCGAATCTCATAAATTTTAAGACATGACAACACACCGCTGATAATGGAGAGATTAAAGATGGTAAAAGTAAAAGACAAATTGATGAAAGTCTGGAAATGATATCGGAGGACTGCAGTAATGAGTGATGATGTCCACAGATGAAACACTGAGGGCAATGGGTTGTTACAACATACTACGGTGTTTTGTATTTCATGCTGAAGATATGAATGGCAGATACCGGTATTAACATCTTCATGATAGACACAGGTTTACAGGACTACCAGACGCGGATCCAGGATTTCTTTAGACGGGGGGCACACCTTTAGAACATTTCCTCCGAGGACTAATGTAGCGAGCGCGAAGCCCTTACGGCGTGGGGTCCGGGGCCCGCTTAAGGGCCCCGGGAAATGTTGGATTCTAGATGCTCTGTGGTGCAATCTGAGGCGATCCTGGCACCTTTCCCCCTGAATTATTTGTGCAAAAGTTGATAATCTTGTAAGGTATTTTTTAAAAATATACTCTTGTTTTTACAAATTTTAAGCTACTGTGTACTTCAAAATTGCAAACCATGTTTTTTCGTCTTCATAATTTCTTGCATTGTATTTAGAAAAAAAAGGACTTGTATTGACTTAGATTGTAAACTGTTGCAACGGGCGATGCGCTGGGGCAATTGCTCCAAGGACTAATGCGAACGCGGAGCAGTGTCTTACGGCGTGTGGTTCGGGGCCCACTGAAGGGCCCTGGGAAATTTTTGATTCTATAGATGATCTGTGGTGCAAACTGAGGCGATTCCTGGCCCCATTTCAGCAAAATGTTGTGAAGATTATTAGGATTTTTTTTTATCGCTTCGGTTTGCGGTAACACCATGTGTTTTTTTTATTTTTTGTTCATTGGTTTGAAATTGTACTCTTGTATTTCTTAATACCAGCCCAGTTAAGTTTCTTCTGTTCCTCACTGGATAACCAAGTATTTTCGACTGCATAATCAATTTCTTGCATTTTATTTTTGAAAAGGAATTGGATAGGCTTAGTTTGTAAACTGTTTTAAGGATGCGTACGATCTGCCCCGAGGACTAATAATGCGGAGCGCGAATGTCTTTCGGCGTGGGGTGACTGGGGTCCGGGGCCCGCTTAAGGGCCCCGGGATTTTTTTTGATAATTAGATGCTCTGTGGTGCAATCTGAGGCGAAATCTGGCCCCTCCTTCCCCGAGTTATTTCAGCAAAATGTTTTAAGTTACATAAGGATATTTTTCATTGGTTTAATTTATACTCTTGCTTTAACAAGCCTTTTAAGTTTCTTCTGTTTTTCACTTGATAACATTTCGTCTGCATAATTGTTTTCGTGCATTTTATTTTTGAAACGGAATTGTACAGACTTAGTTTGTAAACTTTTGCAAGGATGCTTTCTAATGTTTTGTATCAAGTATAAATTTTCAGTTTATCAATAAGATAATATTTTCTACGGAAACGGACATGTTTTGGACTCCTTGAAAGCGCGTGGAAGAAATGTTGGCAAATTGTTATACGAAAACACACCCCTTGACCAATAGTGTGGTCCAAAGAGCAGCGTTCAACGTGTATGTCGCACTCATCGCGCTAAACACAGCACATCGGCTGTCACACGTGCGTGTTTTTCGTACCGGTACGTACGCTCATATGAATCGCATTTCATAACCGATATACTATGCAGGGTTACTTATGGAGTACGTACGGTGGGATCGCGGTTTATTTCGAAGCTTCTCGAGTTCCCTGTGTCATACGGCCAGTACACAATGTTTGCAGGCCGCTGATGTTTAATATCGGCGCCGGTATTTTTGTTAGAAGGTTGCCCTCCTCCTTCCCTCCATTTCTCTCACCTCCCCCTCTTTTTTCTCCCTGTTTTATTCATTTTATTTTTTTGTGGACTCAATTTGACGGGGGGCACGTGCCCCCGCGGCCCACCCCTGGATCCGCGCCTGACTACACAGACAGGGAAAGACACAAATGCACTAGAATTAATGTGAATTGTAAACTTCTCTTGAAATGGTCAAATACGTGTATAGATGTACTGATGTATTGACATTGTCCTGAACGAAATGCCTGGAATATACGTAATACATCTACCGGTACCGTACGTGTACATGTATTCATTTTAAAAATTGACTTTTGAATAAGAAATGCATACATGTTTTTCTACAAGCACACCACTACATTATGAGCATACGCGCAGTAGTTTTTAGTGTACACATGTATGTGTAGCTGTCTTTGAAGTACCGGTATTAAAGAAAAACCACAAAACAGCTGTGAAAAATGCTATTTAACATTTCGTGCAGACTCAGTCCAAATCCTTGGCAGTTTACAAATATGACTACAAAAGATAGCACCATGTGATGCACAGATGTTGAAAAGAAGTCAATCCAACAAACTTGCCCCTGGGTGGTTTCCCCAAACCTCAATTTATCCTTGGAAAAGTTTTGCTTTCTCTAGTTATTCCATTGTCCCATTGTGCTGTACCAGCGATTATGCGCATATATCTCTCCCAGGATCTAGAGAGATTTTACCCTAGGGCTTGCAAAGCCAACTTGTCAAACCCACTTTGACTGTTTACCTCCCAAACAGGACTATTCTGTTGCCTGACCTCAGCTAGTCAAAGTTAACAAACACACAGACTTCCATCCAAAATAAATACAGTGACATCTTCCATGCGACCAAAATGGTCTTTGGAAATTTCTGAAATCTTGGATCGACTTCAGCTCCAAGTCTAGCTTCAGAAAAATTAAGAAGCCTTTAATTTAAAACTCAAAAGCAAGTGGAAAGTCAGGGGCCTACAATTTACAAATATTGTAAAGGCGAAGCTGGAGGCCAGCCGAGATTTCGGAAACACCCTGTAATGATCTTGTCACCGGTAACCGGACAGTTTGACACATCGCTGTATTCATTCCCTGACCCACTGGTATTCCGGGTATGAGGAAGTTGATTCTGAGCGGGTTAACATCTGGATCATTACATATTTTACGCACATAATACATGTACCAGAACTTTGGGGATGGCTGGGCAGTCAGCGCTGGCCTTGTCAATTCCTAAATTGGAAATGCACTCGTTTAGTACTGTTTATTTGATTTATAGTGGAGATATTAGGAATATACAAAAAGCTGATAGTGCAAGACAGACAAATACACTGTATGTACAGGTATGAAACAGAATATGTACTTTGTCTATAGATGCACTTATATTTTATTGACTTTAAAAATTAGTGACATTACATGTATTAGTTCCATTACATGTATACATACAATGTACATTTACATCAATTTCTGCAAAGGGAATCTATCATACTGTTAGTTGGTGCCATGTTTTGGAACTGCTAAGCATCTAAACATTTTGTGTACAATTTCAGCACAAAAATCGTGACTGTCTTATTTGTATTTCACGACCTTTACTACTTACTAAATGTTTGCAAGAATGTTGATGTTTCCATTACTAAAAACAACGGTTTAATCCTAAACCCCTCGGCCCTTTTTGCTAGGAACCACCTTCAATCTTCCAAAATCCTCCACTTCTTCAAACACCATTCATTCTCAATCCTTCAAATCAACCGATACTGAATGTCCTTGTGTCCTCGATCTTCCACAATCCTCCAAAATTGTATGTTGTATTCATCCAAAAATCCTTCAAAATCCTCCAAAACTGCCCGGAGACTGGAGGATTGAGGAGAGTTAGAGTTAAGGAAACTCCACCACTGGTATTAGCATGCATTGCTGTACTGTGTAATGCACTGTCCATCGAACTGTTAGCAATCCTGTTAAGCTCACCATTGTGTGCTTAGCAGTACTTTGTAATTTTGGTTTTGACCCAAGTTGACAAATGTACTTGTCTCAAACCTACAAATGCCAAAAATAGAAAGACAGATTCAGAATGTAACAGTGCCAAGCTTTGGTATTAAGTCTAATTTTGCCCACCTCATAATAATTTGTTTTGTTTTCTACCAGTTGCGTACTCAAGGTGTGATTACCATTTTCCTTCTAATCTTCATCATGCCACATTCTCGCACACATTCCTAATTTGTGTTCAATCTTCTCGTTACAGTCGTAATTCCTTGTCAGCTTTACCCATAGAGATCTGTGAGATCTACCTAGAGGTCCTGATAGTCAGCAATAACAAGTTAGTAGCGTTGCCTCCCGCGGTGGGCAAGATGAAGACGCTAATGCATCTGGTAAGTACCCAGCAGCGGTCCCGGCCTGGCCTGGCTCGGCTGGCTTGGGTGATAGTTCACATCTCTTGTGACTGTGTTTAAATACTGTCCAGATTGAGAGATCATAACCCCCCCCCCTTTTATGTTACATTGTACGTGTGCCTTCAGTGTCTTTAAAATTATGATTGTGATTTGTCAAAGTCAAAGTCAAGGAGTTCAACAAATTATTTTCTTATTTTGTCCCCTCAGCAGTTTTTCCATGCTTAAAATTATCCCGAATCTTCTTAACACCAACACAATTCAACGACCCTATCTGATTATTTTTCTGATTGGGACACCCCCCCCCCAAAAGAAAATTTCAATCAAAGATTTTGGCAGAAGTCTGAGGATTTCTTTGGAATTGGAGTGGTTTTTTTTCAAAAGTTGTTCCCTTCTCTGTAGAAATTAAAGAAAAACATTCTTGGAGAAGGTAGGCCTTTTTGTTTCTATCCACTGATAAACAAGACTTCAAATTCTCTCAAAAATTAACAAAAATGTAAACAAAATTTAAGTAGTGGACACCCCCCCCCCAACAGATTCTCCCAGTAATGAATTTAATTAATGTAGCATGATTTACTCATTCAACTTTTAAATATTTCTTTTTTCCATGTTTGTTAAAAAAAAGGATGCCAGTTGCAACGAGTTAGACACATTACCTATGCAGATAGGGGAGATGGAATCGCTAAAGGAGCTCAACCTCAGACGAAATCACCTCATGCATTTACCAGAAGGTAAGCTCAATCTCAGACAAAATCACCTCATGTATTTACAAGAAGGTAAACTGAACCTCAGACGAAATCACCTCATGCATTTACAAGAAGGTAAGGTCAATATTAGACAAAATCACCTCATGCATTTACCAGAAGTAAAGCTCAATATCAGACAAAATCACCTCATGCATTTAACTGAAGGTAAGCTCAATATCAGACAAAATGACCTCATACATTTAACTGAAGGTGAGCTCAACCTCAGACAAAATCACCTCATGCATTACCGAAAGGTAAGCTCAACCATGGATGAAATCACCCCATGCATTTACCAGAAGTTAAGCTCAATATTAGACGAAATCACCTCATGCATTTAACTGAAGGTAAGCTCAATCTCAGACGAAATCACCTCATGCATTTACCAGAAGGTAAGCCCAACCACGGATGAAATCACCTCTTGCAGTTTAGAGGTAGTGGATTGGCTGATATTTGACCGATTTGAAAGAAGAAATTTGAGCTTCTTATTCTCATGGAAGCTGTCAAATCGTGCGCAAAACTGCCGACGGCTTTCGACAAAGTGTGTCGCTTGACAAAAAGAGCCCCACAAACAACTTGATGAAAAGAGATCGAATAACTTTTGAGTTGATTAGTTGATCAACTATTGTGTCTGACAAGCAGATAAATAAGTATCACAACAATTATTGTTAAGGGCAAACTATTCTTCTTAAATTTTTGAATATCCTCACACGGTGATGTAATGCACCCGAATCCATCTTTTTCGTTTTGCAGAAATCAGCCGGCTGAAGTTAATCATGCTGGACGTCTCCTGTAATAAAATCTGTTTCATCCCACCGTCGTACAGACACATCAAGACGTTAGACGTCTTGAAATTAGAGCACAATCCGCTAGAGATGCCACCAGCACAGGTAAAATAAACTCTTACACATTTAAATCGTCACATTTTTGCCACAATTTTTTTCTGAATTTTTCCAAATTGCATATTCTTGATTCTGTGTCCTAGGGCAAGATGCTTTACCCCAATTTGCCCAGCCAACCTGAAGTATAAAAGGGTGTGGAGTACATTTAAATGTAACCTTTTGAGCAAGGTTTGAATTTATCCTGTTTTAAAGGAAACTAGGAGTTAAACACTGGATTGCCATTTTGTCTCAAGACAGACTGTTAAACTTTCTCCTTTCTGATATTTGTGGCTGTTTTGGGCTACTGATCTATGTTCATTTCCGAATCGTATTGACCCTTTGTCAATTGTTCTTATCCCAAGGTCTGTACGAGGGGGAAAGTCCACATCTTTAAGTATCTGAACAATGTGGCAACAAAAGATGAGAAGAGGAGTCGCTTAGAGCAGAATGAGAGACTGTCAAGACGGTCCTACAACAATGCAAAGTATGTCACTTACTCCTCGATCAGTCTGTATAAAGTCTTAACAATTTACCACCATCTTGGTCTAGTTCCTGGAAGACTTGTTAAATATTGAAGTAGAGGATTTTAGAATTCCTTTTTATCCTTCTCTAAAATGAGTTGATATGTTTTGAGTAAATGTTTGTGACACCCCCCCCCCCCTTTGACTCCACCCCCTTCCCCTTCGACACCACCCGATCCCAGCAAACCCAATTGTATTAAGGACACTTTAATATGTACAGACTGAAGTGAGCTCACGGTTGCCTTTCAACTAACGCTATTTTATTGCTTTCACCTACTTTAGCTCTTTGTTTCCCCTAAAGATAACTTCAAGTGCTTTTTAGATTACTTTCTTCACTTCTTTCAAGCTGTTCACCGGCAAGCTTTTCTCTCAATTTTTTTGCCCAAAAGCATTTTTTTTAAAATAAAAATCACTGAAGAAACGTCTCTCTTTATGAATAGCGTAATAACTGTCTGTAAACCAGAGATAATGGTGAACCTGAGTTAAGAACAGAAACAACGTTTAATTCAGCATCCTCAATGCTAACAAACTTTTGTTTCAAAGTAATATTATTTTCCCACTGCTATCAAATATTTATGTTGAAGTTTCTGTCTTCATCAAACTTCATGCAAAATTGAGTTGCATTTTGTTTTATAATCCTGGCATCAAACGTCTGCACTACTCTTTCTCAAGTTTATGTATGCAATTTAGATTTTAAGAAAAGATGATTAAAAAGGCATTGTTACCTCTAAAAGTCTTCTAAAAAATTTCCGTTGCTGTGAAGCTTTGCTGAGCACTAATTCCTAACCAATCCACACGTTGCTCAGATACACATGGCTAGCCACTAACGAAGCAGCTACGCGCTTTGGCTCCTCGCACAGCACACACATCAACCAGCTGGACACCAGCCAAGCGGGGAACCAGTCGGTGGTTCTCAGTCCGTCCACACTCACCGCCCAGTATTCAAAAGGGTCCGAAGGCTCTAATGGCTCTCCTAGGTATTTTTATTTGTGGTGCAAATTATGTTGGTTTCATAATATTCTTGTGCAAGTATACAAGAAAGGATTGTACATGTATGCATGAACGAAGGGGGAGGGGCTGTAGAGAGGAGAGGATGGGGGGGGGGGGGTTGGCATGATGTGTTGGTTTTGCCTGCTAAGATTTTACCATTCTACTTCCAATTCGATGTGTTTGACTTTGTTTTTTGTTTCTTGCCGTTTCATTTTGTGTGGTGTCATGAAATGCACTGTAGAGTTGTCTTTAGGACATAGTGTTTTCATTCTAACTAGAGAGGGCGACACATATAGTATCAGATTGGATTAATTAGTTGAGTGGATGTTGTCCATTTCCAAAACGAATCTGCATGTTTACTTATTTGATCCGTACGTGTTGTTGATTTAAACGTAAAAATTATAATACTTGTTGGGTCTCATGATTATTTTTTCAACATACATTGTACATGTAGTAGTCCAACTACAAAGTACTTGGGGATTTCCTTGCAAAGTACATGTTTTCATACAATATAATATATTTTAAATAGGTTAAGGTGCAGTGATCCATGTCAGATACAACTTTTGTAAACCAATCATTGCTTGTGTCAACTCAAAATTTGCCTGCCGATATGTCGTTCCTGTCAATAGTTGGGTTTGCATCATCTGTCATCTTTTTCCATTACACATACATACATGTACATGATACTTGGTCATATTATTTTGTTTTACTTTTTTTTCCCCCCTTTTTTCTTTTGCTTGTGTTTCATAGTGGTTTCCGTTACAATGATTCCAATTCATATCTTTTACCACCCCTTTTCATTTCAGAAGCTCCACCCTCACCCCCCAGTCCTCCATTGATTCTGACTCCAGTCATTCCACCCTGTGTAATGGTGACCCTAGGTAGTACAACACATCCGTTATAAGCTGTTTACATGTGGTGTCATAACTTGAGGGCGGCCATATTGGATCAGAATAATCGGTTAGGATAGGTCTCGCTCAAATGACGTCATTTCCTACAGACCAGCCATGTGCATCGGCATTTTGAGCGTCAACTTGCATAACGCGCATCGGCTGCATCATATTTCAAACACATTTAGAGCAACAAGCGCGCGTGTTTGGAATGTTTCTATCACTGCGCAATGCAGGCTTGAATGCGTAAAATACACAGTTGCAGTTCTATGACCTATTTGATATTGAAGGGAATTGTTTTTGTTCAAAAATATAATCGTTCCAAGAACTGATATGCAATATTTTTTACAGTCAAAATCAGTTCCTAATATATACATGTACATGTATTGACAAACATTTGTTTAAATGAAATAACTTAGTCAGGGATTGTGACAAATTTGTACACTGAGACCAAATTATAAGCCTGCAGACTTTTGCCTGTGCTTATCCATGTTTCGATCCAATATGGCCGCCTGCAGTCAGCCGTTTCATTGCTGCATTGTCGGTACTTGTTGGTGTAGTTTCCTATGTGTCCAGTTGTCACCTCCATGTACATCTTTCTTCTCACCCTGTATTCATCCTGTTATTACTTGTTTAATGTCAAATACAAGGAAATGGAGAAATTAATATTTTACGGGATACATGTACATGTCCGTGTGTTTTTAATATTCCAAACAATATTTTGTAGAAACACATATTTCATGTTGTATCCTTGTCCTATAGAGTGGGAATGTTACATAAATTAGTGGTTCATTTTTTTAACTTGAAAATCAAAACTAATCTGATATAAAGTAAAATGTTCTTTAAATATTTAGTTGTCTAATCTCTTGTGCTTTAGATGTCTTAATATTTTGTGCCCGTTAATAATCTGTTTTTGTGTTCTTTGTCATATTTTTTACATGTGAGGTTTCAATATTTTTTCTAATCTTTTTGTTTGAAAATAATCACAATTTGTAGGGCAGCTTAAGTTATTTCTTCTCTTGGTTGGAATTGTAGTTTTGCTATTGGATTTGCAAAGTCATCACTGTGTTCTAGAAAAATCCTGAGGCGACAATTTTGAAACCTCATTGTGGAAATGTATTGATTGATATTTTTGCAATCTCATATCCTCGGAAATATCGAGTTACACCGTTTCCTTGACAACGTGGCGTGTCCTGATAATAGAAAATACCTTTGTCTGGAAAGCAGGAATGTTGGGCATGCATGTATCATCAGGAACACAATGAGATGTGGAAGTGGTTCAGGTCAAAGGTCAGATAAGAAAAGAAAGATTGGTGACTATTCCAAGTATGAGAAACGTTAAAAATTGTTCCTGGAAAAAAAACATGCACACTCTTGCACTGGCCAAAATGTTTATTTGACATAATTCTATAATAGTACTCGTGTTTTTACTGTTTTCTCAGTGATTGAAATACAAACATGTAGATGAATGGACATTGTACCAAACTAACTTGCTTTAACAAATTTCAATTATTTCCCGTTTTAAGTTTTCCGGCTCAGAATTATTCCACCCACAAGAAATGGTCGTACACATGCCACAAAATTTGATAAAATGAATAGAAATAAAAGAAACAAGTAAGATCTATGAAGATAATTTGCAACTTCATATGAAGAAATCAAATGGTATCAATTTAGATGTATTTAGGCGTCCTGTATTTCATGTTTTGCATGTAGTTTTTCTTGCAGGAGTCCGTGGATAATTAGGCTGAATCACTGATCGTATTTGAGCATCTTATTCACATTCATTGCCTGAAAACACCTGTAATACACATTGTTTATGTACCTATTTATTGTTTTCTGTGTTTTAACCTGTTGCACAACTTTGTCTTTGTGTTTCTCACTTAAAGGTTGCTTGTGATTCTCATTCAAACAATTTTAGGCTGTATGAGACGATGCACAGATTTAGTTTGATTCCCCCAATCCCAAAGAAAATAATTGAAAAATCAGCCAAATCGGAATAATATGTTGCATAAATTATACAACTACACATGCAAACAAAACTGCCCTCCTTGTAGTACACTTGATTTGGATAAATAATAGGCTGTATACTGCAAAATCATGGAGGGTACTTACGGATTTATCGAAATAAAAAAAAATTGTTCTGATATCAGTCCAACATTCTGAAAACACTGGGCTGCACTATGCTTTCCATCTACCATTTATGATTACATGAAAAATTGCATATTTCAGATTTGGTTACTATTACCCCCATAGACTACTATACGTTAGTCAGCCCTGCTTGTCCCAAAATGAAGGTCAACAAATCTTGCTGCAGTTGGAATCCTTAACTGGCTTGTCTCTGTGAGTAGTTGACTCGCAATCCCTTATAGTAATCATGTCATTTTTATGTAGAGGCAAGTTTTTGAAGTAATAAATCACTGCATGTATTGTCACTTTTTTTCTTTTCCTACAGTGCCGTGGAAGACTTTGCCTTCTGGAACGCCAAGATTGGGGAGTTAAGGCGGGGCGCACTGACGGCAGACTCGGGTTACATCGACGGTGACAAGAGATGGTCCGCCACAGAGGTACTGGCCTTTCAAAAAATCACAAGAAGAACTTGATATTTGCAACATTCTACTGGATGTTTTAACTAAAAAAAAGTATTCTTGGTATTAAAAATCTTCTTGGTTTGGATATAAAGACTTAAGTTCTTTAGAATGGGCACAAAACTCCAACCACTCTAATTAACCACAGTGGGAAACTATAACCAGACTCACTTGTCGCCTGAAACAACGCCCCTGTCTTCTTGACTCCCCTGTACACTATTCTGAACAGATCAACCTTGAGGACTTTTGATCCTGTGTTTTTCATTTTAAGCTAAATTTAAGCACCCTTTTTTCAAATGCTGACTTAGGCCCTGATTGTAATTTTGAAATTGCGATTGTAATTTTGAAATCGACTCAAGCAAAATCTGAACCTACAATCTCCAGACAAGCTTGCTTGCCAGGGTTGGCTGGTGATTAAATATCTGAATAGCACCAAATTTTCGTAAACTAAAGGTCATTATTTCAAGCCCTACAAGTTGATTTCCTTTTGGTAAAAAAATTGTTGCTCCTCCACAGCCGTCCAATGACGATGAGGAAGCCCGCATTCTTGCCGACCGAGCCAATCAGCAGAAGGAACACCGGCAGCAGCGTGAAGAGTTCCTGAACCAATCCCTGGGCAGCAACAACACGTCGTCCTCGTCCTTTGGCACGGACGCCGCGGGCGATATTGATTACATCGACACGGGCGACGATGGCATGGAAGACGGCGAGATCACGCCCACCCAGACGGAACCAGACGAGTTTACTAAGGTGAATCCCCATAAAGTATGTATCAGTCATTCAGTTTTCTTGGCATGGCATGCTGGGAGATTTGTGAAACTTGCTGAGGATGATGACCCGTTTGACGGCTTATTTTTTGCAGAGGCGAGTGATTTTGTTTGGTTGATGTGTTCCAATTGGTAAGATAGTGTCCATTGATTCTTAATTTGGTAAGTGCATCTTTAGATATATATTTACAATAAGTCTTCAGTTGTTTGAAGAAGAGAGGAAACTACATAGTGTTTTCCTTAAAGGCATATAGGATCATTTTCATTATCCGAAAAGTAACCTACCAAATTGTTATCTAAAGGCTTGCTTGGATTAAAGATGGTACTGGTACTAAACACCCTGTGAAATTATTCTGTCTGGCTTGCTGTCATTTTAGAAGAAATCAAGAAATGTAGGTGATTTCTAACGATCAGTCAATTGAAAAATAGTGATTTGTGATCCAACAGCGCATGGTTTTGCACAATTTCCTTGAAAGGTGTAATATTCACTGAGCTGAAACTGCAACGAGTTAGGTTTGAGCATTACTCTTTGGAAACAAACAGCATTGAGCATTGGGAAAAAGAAAAGAGTCATTTCTATCAGATTTTTAATCTGATAAGGTAAAACCAAAAGAACTCTTTCTGCATGGAACTTTCATTTTACGAAGCATGCTTTGTTCTTGGCCTCGTGCATTTAAAATTCTCGGAGAAAAAGTATTTTTAATGAATGAAATTCTTTGGTTGAAATTACTGAAAGAAGATTTGGGTCTCGGGCGAATTATTTGAGGATAATTGTCAAGATTTTATTTAACCTTACAAATTTCTACGCTTTCTTTGGTTAGATGCATTGTAAAACAATAAGTCTCGTTCAAATGACGTCATTTCCTACAGACCATCCACGTGCATCGGCATTTTGAGCGTCAACTTGCATAACGCGCATCGGCTGCGTCGTATTTCGAACACATTTCGAGCAACAAGCGTGTGTGTGTTTCAGTTTGGCGCAATGCATGCTTGATTGCGTAAAACACGCTGTTGCAGTTCTCCTACTTTCAAATTATACTAGTCAAATCTAAAAAAAAAAATCTCCTGAGTTGTGTGGTGTCGTTTCTAATTTGGCAAATCCCTGTAGAGTTATTCCAGTCTCTGTTTTAATACCTTGAAGCCATTTGAGTGTAAGCTTGATTTCCACATTTCTCCCTTGCAGTTTGTGCTTTTCCCCAAAAAAAAAAAAAAATTGTAAAATACTTTTCCAATGTTGAAAAACTTTTAGTTGCTTATTTAAAAGACTTAAAATCCAAAATATCCTGAGTCTTATGCAGTGGGTTTGTTTGCGGATAATATCGCTTGAAATCCTAAGCCAATTCGCCATGGTGAGTTTATTATAATTAAATGTCAATTCCCGCCATTGTGTCAAAAAGTCACAGATGGTCTTGTACTTTATCGGTGTAGGTTTGCTGAGATGACTAGCGTACATGTCATCTCTGACCCCCTCCATCCCCTCCCTCTTTCCATCCAGCCCCGCCCCTCCCTTTTCCCAGAGGCATTTATCAATAAAAGTAAGGTAAGCTATGCATGTGCATCATGTCAGATTCTTGACGAAACCTTTAGCCGATAGTCAACCCTCCAGGCTTTTAGTAAAGCCTGTTCCAATCGACCAAACAAAGGAGAATCTTTTCTGATCCTGTGTTTTCCAAAGTTTCCAATTTATCTGCCATTAAGATTTTCTTTAGTAATCACCTTCCGAAGATTTTTTTCTGCCGTTTCTTTTTTCCCCCTGTTTTTCTGGGTCCACATATGTGGTTAATTCTATAAATTTTGGGGACAAAGTGTGACATTTTTCCTGTCCCCGTTACCTTGGCACTTTGAAATTTGTCATTCAAGTATCATTAAGAATGACTTCAAACAATTTTTTTTATTTGTTGGGTAGGTAGTTTGCTATTCATAATCACTCTTGGAGGATGACTGCATTAAGGAGTGCACCAGAATTATACAATCATAGTTGTCAGATGTAACAGGGACAGGAAAACAGTGGACCCCAATGTTCAGTTATATGTAATCATTATGTAATCAAAATTATAGACAAATATGTAATCATGCAATCATATTCATGGAGTCAAAAAGTTCTTCAAGAATGTCCCTCTAAGTATCTCATCCGGCAGGATCGTGTAATCCTCAGCTTGCCTCCCACTTTTTCACCCCCTTCCCGCATATCTCTACCTTCCGTAAAACTTCTTACAACTTATAAATAAATACCCTTCCCTAATACCCCCTCCGTTTGTCAAAACCCAGGCACTGACGAGACAAAAAGCCATCTACGAGGATCAGAAGTTGAAGGCAAAGGAGGAGCGAGTCCGGCAGCAACAAGAAGAGCAACGGTGGCAGCAGGAGGAGGAACGATGGAAAGTGGAGAGGAGGCGGGAAGCAGAGCAAGACAGATACCGGCGATCGTCCCCATCGGGAAGCCTGCTGTCAGTCCAAGCCAACGGGACCGTCAACAGCAGGGGCGCAGAAAGGTGAGATTTCCTTGAGTTTTACAGTCTTTGTAACCATAACTCCCTTCTTGGAGGAGGTCCTTCCTGAATCCTCCAAAATCCTCCACTTGACAGAAACCAGTGACACAGCTGGAGCCAAATTCATGGATCCGCTAAGTGCAGGAATTGCTAAGCACACAAACTCAGGTTACCAGCCAAAGTGTCATGCAATTTTATTGCTTGTGACTGGTACTCAACTGATCCATGCTTAGCACACAGATTCGATAAGCAAAGTTTTCTGCTAAGCACGATGAAATTTGGCCTGATGCTGTACCTTCCTCAGTCTTGCAAAATCCTACAAAATCTCTGGATGGATTGTGAAGGATTTAGGAGGGCTAGGGTTAAAGAGACCTGCCGGACTATCAGTGCATGAGTGTATGATCAGTGTTCCTTGTTATTGGTACTACCTTATTGATTCTTAGTATAAAAAAAAGAGTTTCCAAAATATTTTTTGGCCGTCTGTTAGCCAAACTTGAACCATAGTTCCTGATAAGATTCTAAATCTGGCAAAGCTCTTCTTGCCAAAACTAAAGATTACAAACCTACTTTTTTTGTCTAGCCATCTTCATTTAAGCATTATCCTAAGTTTTGACCTTTTCTAGAGCTGAGCTTTTTATTTAGTGTATGTACAGCAGAAAGTGCTTATAGCATGTGTGCATTGTGAGTTTATGTTCAGAATTGTTCTGTTGACTTTTTTGACTTGTTTTGCTTGCCTTGCGTGCAATGTGACTGTTGGCAGATCCTGGGTTGGTGCCCCACCCAGAAATTGTTCCAATGAATCCCTATTAAAACACATCTTGATTTTTATTATACTTTTTTCAATCGTCAGAGATTTGTTGTCTAAATTTGTCGGGAAAACGAAAGAGATGATTTCAAATTTGATTGTACCTCACAAAAGTGCAACAAGCCCTTACACATACATGTGAAGTTTTGTTTTCATCATTTTCAATGTTTTACTTTCAGTGCATAGCTGCTAAAACGTTAGAGTCCTTTCCCTGTTTTAGAAGAGTACATTTAAACCGAACTTATTTTAGGAAAGAATGCAAAATTAAACTAGAAATGTGTTTGTGGACAAACACAAGCTGTTTCGGATATTTGAAATACTCTGTGCACGTGATGAACACTTGATGAAGTCATTTCGAATGTCATCTGCCAAGAGAAAAGCCAATCAGACATATCGTGCCAAAGTATGAATTGCAGAAAAACGTGTACGAAACCTATGGGGAAAATGTACATCTTTAATGTAAAGTAACGTGCCACCTGATGACGTCACGATCACGAATTTCTTCAAGGACCATCTGTGGGTGATGGTCTAAGTGTGTACCAAGTGTAACGTCGATCGGATTTACGAAAGTGCCGAAATGGAGCGTTTTAATACATGTACAAACCCTATGGGGAAAATGCATCTTTAATGTGATGTAACCTGACTCTTGATGACGTCACGATCACGAATTTCGTCTAGGACCATCTGTGGGTGGTGGTCTAAGTATGAATTAAGTTTAAAGTCGATCGGATTTACGAAGATGCCAAACTGGAGTGTTTTAAAACGTGTACAAAACATATGGGCAAAAATGCATCTTTAATGTGACGTAACCTGACACCTGATGACGTCACGATCACAAATTTCTTCTAGGACCATCTGTGGGTGGTGGTCTAAGTATGTACCAAGTCTGAAATCAATCGGATTTTAAAAAGTGGCAAAGTGGATTGGTAGAAGAAACGTGTGTTAAACCTATGGAGAAAAAGTCTGAAAAAGGAGAAAAAAAAAAAAGAAAAAAAAAGAAAAAAAAAAATCTTAACGAAAACAAGAGCTGTTTCGGTGTGTACACCGAAACAGCTAACAAGCAGTAACTGGAGGTTGAATGTTGAAGTACCCTGTAACACCTCATAAAACCTTGAAAAACCTCGAGATAAATCTTAGATGAGCGTCTTTTGAATTTTGCATTCTTCTCTTACAACCCCCGGATCTGTCCGTGACTGTGCCTATTTGATAACTGAATTGTCTGCATGCTTGTTTGTTTGTCTGCTTGTCTCTCTTGCCTTCCTTGCCCGCCTCCCCCTTTTCCCGTGCTTCTAGGAGCCAGAACCCTAGACCTCTATCGTCCTCCTCATTTAGTGAGAGTCTGCAGAGACCGACCACTTTGGAGATGTAAGTTGTACCCGCATCATTCTTGTGTTTTCTTTGCCGACTCCCCCTTCCCCCACCCCCACCCCCACAAACCCCTCCCCTTTTGGTTCTTGCCGTGGTATTTCTTCAGGAAAGAGTGCAGAACTTATTGAGTAGTTAGCAGAAGTTGCTGTGAGCGAGCACTGCAAATGAGAACAAATTTAGACTTTTGAACAATTTAGTGAAGAAAGAATTTTCCGAGTTTTTTTTTCAAAGCTATTAAATTAAAATTAAAAATTAAAAGTTGAACACATTCGATGTTTTAATAAGTCAAGTTGGAATTTAAGTTCAAACCATTTGAATGGTTCTGCTTAAAAAACTCTGATTCTTCTTACATTCATTTGTTGATGTTTGTAATTTCTTGAACATCTTTTCAGACCAGAATTTACATTTTCCCCCCTATTTTCTGCACTTTTCCCAACGTCTTAGAATGCATTTGCATGTACTTTTTATACGTTTTGCACAGAGTAGAATCGGTTTAAATATATAGAGTTTCCTCTTCAAACTAGGTTTTCAACCCTTTAAAAGGAGCACCAGACTTTCTTGGGACTTTTGTTGCTGTTTTTTGTGAACCAATTTCCAGAATTTAATTTTTTTAAGTACTTTGCACCTGCCCCCAATCTCACCAACTCCGCCCATCACCTCTTTGTATGGCTTATTATTATTATATTTTTCTCCCAGTGGAGGGTAGTGAGTGCTGTTGTTTGTCAGCTTTAACATGTTATGGAATATTTTATCCCCATTCTATTTCTAATGGTCCCTTTTATATCATTTGTTTACCCCTTTTGAGACTAATTTAGAGTTAGGAGAGCTTTTCTGACCAAAATGTACCTTACTGTTTCCAGCATTGTATGTGTAGTACATGTAGTATGAAGGACCACCATTGTCCAAATAAATTGAACAAATACTGTTTTACGCAGGAAAGTTTTGAAGTGTTACTTTGACACTATCTGAATATTTGTTTGGAAAAAAAGGGTCAAAAAACCTGAAAATGAAATGCTTACCAATGCATAATTGTTTAAATTTTCTTTCAGAGGTTTAAAAACAATTCAAAAACAGTATGAAAAAGCTTGCTTGAAAAATTTAAATATGCAATCATAATTGTATGCAGAAAAGCGTTTATTTTAAAAAGTCATTTCAGATTTTTTTTTGCCAATTAACAATGTTGCGGCTTTTACAATGTCAACTGTTACACGTGCCTCTTGTTTGAAAAAGAACCACAAGTTACAAATTCTGTAAGAACAATTGTCACGTCATCTTTCAGCGCCCGGCAAAAGAGACAACAAAGGAGGGCTACAGTTACCCTAACAGACAATATCAGGTCCAGCAGTGTAGACAGAAATTCCTACAAGTAAGCATGCTTTCCCCTTCTTCTATCCCCCCCTCTTAATACTCTAACTCCGCCCACTGACCTTTTGCTTTTCACTGATGATAGTGGTGGCTTGAATCTTATGGTAACACATAGAATTTGTTATTAGTCCATAGAAAGGCCCTTAACATGCTTTCACCTATTTGTTTTGTGGTCTGAGATAAATTAAATTTTAAATGATCCTGGGATTTTTTTTGCCTATTTGCACCGGTGTAGAAGTGTGAAGTAACTATGGTAATGACAATTAATTGTAACAAAAACAATTCTGTATATTGTATGGTTCCTGATCTTCCAGATTGAACTTGGGACAAGATAAAATGACAGAAAATGGGTGAAGGCTTCAGTATGGGAAACAAATAAACAGGTGCCAGGCAGAATGCCTTGATCATGCTGCAGTAATTTTGGTCTGGTGCCCTGAAGACATCGCAGTCTCATCATCCCAACATATCCCCAGCTTTTCTTTTCACTATTAATTACAGCTGTATCTTTGGATCTGGATGAAATTGAAAAGAAAACAGAAAAAAAACTTGCACTACAGGTCCATCTTACGACCACCGGAATTCAGAATGAAATCTTGTGCATTTTGATGATTATGCATGGCAAATCTCTTTACAAAATTATTGCTACAATCATAATTTTATATTAATTAAGAAAAAAAAGTTTCTGTGAAAAAAATCTCAAAGCTGACTTCTTTTTTCCACGCTGAATAACTCAAATAGCATTTGTACTTTGAAATGTTGTTACACTTTACTATATCAAATATCGTTAGCCCATTCTTGTCAATATCCAACGGCCATTGAAGTGTGAGGCGTGCTGAGAATGCAACAATTAGAACAACAGCTTATTTTGTTGCCCACAAAAATCCATTTTGATGTTGGATCGTGTTGAACTCGGCAGGTTTAAGGTTAATTTGGATGTTTTCACTCAAAAAAACTATATTTTTCCAACAAAACATTTCTCCCATGATTCCTTGGTACTCATAGTAGGTCATCGGCTGGTCATGCCAGTAACCTCCCGAACGGTCGGCTACCTTCGTCCACCGATGACAGCCACCGGCAGCTGAAGCGAAGCGACAAGGTGACGTCTTCGTCATCGTCAGCGCTGTCCTCGTCACGTGACGGCGGGATATCGCAGAGCCGACACGAAGCCCAGCTGGCCAGGAGGCGGCAGGAGGAAGAGAAAGCAAGGAATAAGCAGATACAGAAGGACGCACTCAGGAACTTTGTGCAGGTTAGACATTTGGCTTAGGAATTTGGCTTCTAAAGAAATAATTTTTGCTTGGAAGTTCTGTTAAGAGATTTGCTTCGACACTTTGCTTAGACTTTTGTTTAGAATTTTGTTAAGAAATTTGCTTAGAAATTTTGCTTAGAAAGTTTGCTTACAGAAAAACAAGATTTATACATGCACAATTTTATGGATGTGTGTGGCCTGCAACCTGGGTCTAATTTCATGGCTCTGCTTAGCAATAAAAACGTACATTGCATATATTTTGATCCTCCCCAGAGTCGGAATTCCACATCATCACTTCACTCGCCCGGCCATGAAGAGAAGGATTTCCAGATGGAACTGAGCCCAGGCAGTGCAAAGTCACCCCCACCACCCCCTGCCACTTATAGTGCATCGGCCTTTGGCAGTATCAAGCCAAGATCTGGTGAGTTTTGTGGACCATACCATTCTCTCTCAGAGGGGGAGAATGCTGGATTTTATCTTCTCTGTTTCTGAGCAAGATGCTTTACCTCAATGGCCTTTCCATCCCAGACTTATTCATGGGTTTATTTGTGGAAAATGAAAATCCAGTCCAGTCCCTTTAAGAAGGGAAAAGGGGACAATTCTTTGGCCTTTTTTTAATTTTTGGACTTCACACATCTAAATATGCTATGGGGGTTTGTGGTTAATAAATGCTTTGCTTACCCTTCCCCCACCACACACTGCAGCCTTCAGCATAGGCGGTGGTAAACCACAGGGAGAGGTGCAGCCCAACTTCACGGTCAAGCGAGAGATGACCAAATATCGGGAGGAGATGGATCGGATCGAGCAGCTCAGAAAGGTCAGTCACCAAAATTCAGCTCTTGTGGCCCCTCCACCACATATCTGTCTGTTTATCACTCAATGCTCCGACACCACAGAGTTTCCCAGCACACCATTCTTAATTTTCAATAAATCTCCACTGTGAATTGGATCCTTTATCCAATCTGTAACACCCTCACTGTGTTGGGCAAAAAATGTGTCAAATTTATCTGCAGCAGTTTTTGTCTGTAATTCCCCACTAACCATTAATTTTCTTCCCGTTCCTTTTCAAAATTTGAGGATTTTATGAATTTAAAGAAGAAATTGTGATATCACTAAAATATTTTTTTTTTTAATCAAGGATTTTAGAACTTTAAACTTGGTTCTTAAAAGAAAAATCAAAATCGCCTGCTGCAAGGCAGCCCATCAAATGGAATATTGGGATTGTTTTCGTATACGTATGTACACTCGTTAACTATTCTTCATTTCTAATAACCCCACTTATTCCCCACCTCTTCTTCCCTTGTATCTTTCCTTTGTTCCTGGGTAAAATTTGTGTTTCCTCTGTGGGGTTTGGTGTTTTTTTATTTGTCCGTTAAATGTTCAGTTGAAACCCAATTGGATGAGCAGTTACCGGTCGGTGTCGGATATAAACACAATAGATCAAATGCGCAAGGTGAGTCCTCCAACAAGCCGGAATGTCTTGGCGCTTTGTCTCGGACGTGCATGAAATGTTGTGGCGAAAGAGCTAGTCATTGACACTCAGCATGAGCTAGGATTGTGGATTGGCGAGATTGTTTGGTAGAAGGGGAAGAAATCTTCCTCGAAAAGATGGCCTCTCAGAGTTTTTGAACCTTGATACAAAACGAACTTCAAAGTAAGGCTCCAAGTTATAATGGGTGATTTACAATATAGAAAAGCTGTTAAATCCCGCTTTACTCACAGTTGACATTCATTGTCGAATGGTTATCATTATGCGATATGTGACTTGAACTCTGCAGGTTTTACTGGTGTTTGTACCTGCATGCTTAAGTTCGAAGTTTTTTCTGCGTACTTTCATTTTTTTTAAATGCAAGACTTCAGAGTGTATTTATTGTGTCTGTGTAATACCACACATAAACAAGTAATGACAAACAATTAATTCCAGGAAAAGTGGCCTGTGTTTTTCGTGATTCTTTGCTAAATTTCATAGTACATGTTACTGTGATGATGTTTTTGGTCTGCCATTATAATTTATTTTAATTTGGTTGTTTAATTTGGTTGTCTTCTGTTACCATTTTACATGTTCTTGATTCAGCGGTGCGCCATGCTTTAATTTCCAGAACTTCTTTTTGCTCCAAGTCTAATTGTGTCGTCGACAGTAAAAAATTTGTGAATTTGTTGTAGTTATACTTAACCTGGAGTTAGCTATTCCCCAGATGAATTAATATGATTTCAGTTTATTTGTTTCCTTTTAGTTCTACATGTATTTTGATTTTGACAACTAATACGCGTACCGTTTGGCAGTGTCCTTAATGGTTGATGATGCATGCATTTTTTAAACTGTAGATCGAAACTCCTGCAGTAAGGAAGAACCCGCTTTAATCAAATTGTTCAGACTCAAAATTAGCTTTTATCTGTGATTGTTAACAGTTTATTGCAGTTTCAACCAAATGTATTTGGACCAGTGCATTGGCTCATTAAACACTAAAACAATTGATTGGATGGCTGTGTTACAAAGCCATAATATCATTTGAGCGTATGCTTTGATGGATTCTGGTCCTGTTGCTACATGTGTATTTCTTTACTAGCTCTCAGTGTGCGAGACACAGTGCATGCCCTCACTGGTCTGCCAGTTGGCACACCATACTCTGATGATGCCCAAACCCATGGCATCTATGCATGAGCGCCAGGCCTATGTGTCTAACTCTTTCTTGCGCACGAGTCCCTACCATCATCCATTTGGCGGCAATGGTGACAGCCATGCAGCTGAATGATCAAAAAGCTTAGAGCAAGTTCAGTCGTGAACTTTAGGTAGCCATAGTTTGCTTGAAAAGCAGAATGGTTGGATTCTCTAGTCGACTAATTACAACCGAACCACAAGACACTGTTGCATCACTGGTTACCAATAGCTGTGCATCACAAAGCACAGCAGGGAGCCAGGATCAAGAAATTTTGTGATAACATTATGACATTGTTTAATAGAGACAATCATGCCTTGCTTATTAGTGCACAAGTGTAATTTACGTCCCGAAACAACCACTATTCAACAAATGGTCCTCGCCTGAATTTGCGCCAAGTTGATCATAGCTAGTCTCTCTGTTTCTATGTATCCCACAGTGCATTGAGGCCAGGTTAAAGGTCAACCTGCCTGATGACATCCCGGGGGCGTTGGAGGATGGTGTCGTGCTGTGCCATTTCATGAATAATGTGTTCCCCCACGCTGTGCCTACCATCCATGTACCGTCACCTGCTGTGGTATGTTATCCTCCACCACAAAATGTTGAAATTTCATTTTGCCAGAGACATAAAATATTATGAAACAGGAGACAAAATTCACCAGGGCAGAAGAGGGTTTGCACAACAAACATTAAATATTTCTCTTCTGCTTTGAAGTGAGTTACTTTTTTCCCATTAAAAAAAGCATGGAATAAGCTTTACTCTGGTGCCAATGTTTGCATGTTTTGTCACCAAAAAGGAATAGTAAGTTTTAGAGGGAAAAAGTTGGAAGGAATAACTAGTTCTAAAAGCTTAAGAATTCTGCATCTTTTATTATAATGTAAAAAAAAAAATCAAAAAATTCTTTTTGGTCAGTCTTTTTATGTAAAAAGTTTCTGAATGAAACGTGAACATTCACAAAGCAGAATTATTCAAAACCACACAAATGTCAGTGCACATGTCAGATCCATCTTGCATTTGAAAATTGCGTGTTCATACGTTCAAATCCTCAATAAATTTACATACTTTTGGTTTTGCAGCCTAAACTGTCGTCAGCAAAATGTCGGAGGAATGTTGAGAATTTCCTGAAGGCTTGCGCTACTTCAGGAGTCCCAGTGGTAAGTTCACAAAAAGGATTAGTATGGTCACCATGTTCATAACCTCAGAGTCTTTGCTGTATGTACTTATTCAAGTGAATGCCACGAGGAGTCTGGTAACTAGACAGTCAATGGAACCAGTTCAAAATGACAGTAACATGTGTCTATGGGAAGTGGCTTGTGATTTGAATTGGAACTGGGTGACTTGTGGGGACTTACGAGGACTTGCAGGGACTTGTGAGGACTTGCTGGGACTTGTAAGGACTTACAGAGACTTGTGAGGACTTGCAGGGACTTGTGAGGACTTGCAGGGACTTACAGAGACTTGTAAGGACTTGCAGGGACTCGCACGGACTTGTGGGGACTTACAAGGACTTGCAGGGACTTGTGAGGACTTGCGGGGACTTCTAAAGACTTACAGAGACTTGTGAGGACTTGCAGGGACTTGTGAGGACTTGCAGGGACTTACAAAGACTTGTAAGGACTTGCAGGGACTCGCATGGACTTGTGGGGACTTACAAGGACTTGCAGGGACTTGTGAGGACTTGCGGGGACTTGTAAGGACTTACAGAGACTTGTGAGGACTTGCAGGGACTTGTGAGGACTTGCAGGGACTTACAGAGACTTGTGAGGACTTGCAGGGACTCACATGGACTTGTGGGGACTTACAAGGACTTGCAGGGACTTGTGAGGACTTGCAGGGACTTGTGAGGACTTGCGGGGACTTGCAGGGACTTGTGAGGACTTGTGAGGATTGCAGGGACTTGTGATGGATTCGACTAAAACACTGGCTTGATCCATCATTTGTACCCAGTCTCCTTACCCATTATAAACCCACAATTAGTAACAGGTTCATCCCACTGACTACACTTTTCTTCTTTCTCCTCAGGAGAAGTTGTGTACGTCAGGTGATATCCTGGAAGGCAAGGGACTAGTCAAAGTAGCAGGCACAGTACAGTCCCTACTCACCAATAACCCACAACACAAATTGTCATCCGCTGTATGATCCTTGTCAAGACACTTCTTTTTTTTTTAAAGAAAATCATCTGAAGTTGTGCCAAGTTTATTTCAAATTTTCTCCATTAATTTTTAAAGTAACTACGCTGCACATTTACCTGATAGTTGGATTTTTCTCCGTCAAAACAAATCTTGTTACTCACAGGCTAGACTTTTCAGGGTTTGCCAACCTTCACAATTTTTTTTTTTTTTTCGAAATTGCATATAAGGAGTTTTGAACTTGATTATATGGCAGCTATACAGAAAACCCAGAGTGTTGTTTCCAAAAGGAAGATTTCGGCCTTTGACAAATTGCTCCTGAAAGCCATATTTTATAAATCTGCATTTTTTGTGTGGTTATTCCAAACCTTTTGCAGATTCTGGAAAAAGGTGGAAATCCCTTTGCCAGTAATGTTGGTATCTGTCTTTGGTTGAAATTTCGTACTCTGAGATTAATCTTATGTTTTTGCGTGTATAATTTCCCAATTGTTTGTTTGTGTTATTAATTTCAATTCTGGGACCAGTAACAAGTTTGAAAACTTATGCAGCCACTACAACATTCTGTATTTTTTGTCCCATTTTCTCACGAAGCAATTGAAATGTTCTTCTCCAAGTATATATTATGCAATGATGAATCAAATTATGAATTTACTGGCAAAATTTGTTTGCAAAATTAACAGAGCTCAATTTTTAAACTATTTTTATCCATTTTTTTCTTGAGACTTGGTTGATAATTGTCACCGAAATCTCCAAATGTATTTGGACAGTTTATCTTCAAGATATGTGTTATTTTTTCTCATTTGTGGCTTTGTCTGAACTTATTTATTTTGGTTTTTATTTCCCGGGGGAAGATTTTAAATTTTTGTTTGATGTTCTCTGAAAATCTGAGGTTCTTATTTGTAAAGTGTACATATTTTACAAACCTTGTACAATGTAGCACGATAATATTTTGTTTTTGTTTATAGGTGCTGTAAGGGCATATTTATACCTGTATATGCTGTACTTGTTTTCCCCTGTGATGTATATATATCATGTATATCACACACATACGAGCATATTATCTGCATTTTTGTTAATTTCATCCCGTGGTTGTACAAAAGATAAAGATATGTAAATGTTTGTAAATATGGTTTTCATACTAAAAAACACGAGCCTTAAATAAGTGTGTGCACACTTTCAATTTGTGTTTGGTGTCTCACGTCAACTGCAATTACTCAAAGTCGTCTTGTGGCAGCATTTCAAGGGTTGTAAACCTGTAATTGTTATGTAAATTAGGTGCCTGATTGTGGGCGGAGTCATCACTGCCAATATCCATAAAATGTGCTCACACTCATTTTGAATATTTGCATATTGACCTTGAATATACATGTATGCATAAATTACTTATTTTCATTAGCATCCTGTTACTTGTTTTATTTATAAATATTAATTTGACTCATACAAACCTTGTCGATTGCAATGGAACATTGTAAGACTAAAGTAACCTTTGACCCCTCATTGTATCAACTTATCATTTGTTTTTTGCTCAAAGAAGCAACTTTTTTGGTTTTTCTATTCAATATTTTTTTTTGCATATCAGAGGCTGAAAGTGACAATGAGACGAGAAAACACGCCCAATTCGAAATTTGAGCACTAATAAATTCTGGGAGCACACAATCTAACGACAAGATAGAATCATGAAGACCAAAACAACTGCAGGAAAAATCAACATGGACTTTCTCTTTTTGAGGACATAGTATTGCATGATTTATTAATTAACCAAAAAAAGTTCACTATTTCTGGATCAATGAAAAATTGTGTCTTTTTCACAGGATTTTTGTTATTTCTTTGCAGTAAATCATTAAATTGATAAAAGATAATCCTGTGAAATAACGTTTTGAGATCGAAATAGCGAAGGGGAAAAAAGAATAAAAATCTCAGAAGAAATACTAAGAAATTGTCGCAGCATGTAAACAAGAGATTTCCATCAGATGTATACAAATTGTAATCATGTTGTGTAAATATCTTTATTTATTAAACTTACAAGAAAAAAATGTCCACAATTTCATACCAAGGCTCATATAAATTGTCCCACTCATGAAAAACCAAATTAGGTCTTTTACAAGGACAATAATGCATATTTTTTAATCAATTTCTCATCATGCATAGCTCACAGTCCATAGATGAAACTGGACAAAGGAAGACCAACATTTAGCGAAGTGTGGACATGGACTGAAGTTTTGTATAATGCATGAAAGTGCCCCATAAAATACAAACTTTTTTTTATGATGGCCTTGTTTTGGATGCAAAAATAGTAAAAGTAATCTTTCGGTGATAATATCTGTATTCTGTAAGAATTAAATACCGGGAACTGGTCGAATTTGAAAAACAACTTTAGGTCGTCTGGATAATATTACAAATCATAATGAGGAGTAAGCATGTCTTTTTTTTAATTTGTCATCATTATTTATTATCTTATAATGCTCGTTTTTGTACATTGTACATTTGCAAACCATATGAATGTATTTGGCTGAAAGATGCCAGTTGGGCCTTGTATTGGAGGTAAGAATGGAGTTGTAAATGATGTATTGAAAAGTCAGATCAGTAAATGTGTGGGGCTGCCGGCAATCACACACACACCTGGAGAAATGTGCTCACTGGGATTCAGTTTTTACTTTGGTGTGTCATTTACTTGTCATTTGTTACATTGGACTGTTTCAGAGATGTCACCATCTTGAAATAAGTTTATGGTCTCTGGGTTTTTTTCGCAGAACAAATAAATTTTGCCCATTTGAATAATTCAACAGGCAAGGTAGACCCCCTCAGAAGTGTTACTTTTCAGAAAAGTGAAATGTGTCTAATTTCAATTAAAATGCAAAGTTTACCCCTTACAATTGTTTAATTTTACTCGAGAATCAAATTTTGCCCAATTTCGAATAAAAGGCAAGGTTAACCCCTTACAAATATTTAATTTTACTCAAACATCAAATTTTGCCAAATTTTGCCAAATTTTGAATAAAAGGCAAGGTAAACCCCTTACAAATGTAATTTTTTTCAGAAAAATGAAATTTTGCCCAATTTTGAACGAAAGGCAAGGTTAACCCCTTACAAATGTAAATTTTTCAGAAAAATCCAATTTTGCTCAATTTCGATCAAAATGCAAGGTTAACCCCTTACAAATGTAAATTTTTCAGAAAAATCAAATTTTGCTCAATTTCGATCAAAATGCAAGGTTAACCCCTTACAAATGTAAATTTTTCAGAAAAATCAAATTTTGCCCAATTTCGATCAAAATGCAAGGTTAACCCCTTACAAATGTAAATTTTTCAAAAAAATCCAATTTTGCCCAATTTCGATCAAAATGCAAGGTTAACCCCTTACAAATGTATATTTTTCAGAAAAATGAAATTTTGCCCAATTTCGATCAAAATGCAAGGTTAACCCCTTACAAATGTAAATTTTTCAAAAAAAACCAATTTTGCTCAATTTCGATCAAAATGCAAGGTTAACCCCTTGCAAATGTAAATTTTTCAGAAAAATCCAATTTTGCTAATTCCGATCAAAATGCAAGGTTAACCCCTTACAAATGTAAATTTTTCAAAAAAAACCAATTTTGCCCAATTTCGATCAAAATGCAAGGTTAACCCCTTACAAATGTAAATTTTTCAGAAAAATCCAATTTTTCCCAATTTCGATCAAAATGCAAGGTTAACCCCTTACAAATGTATATTTTTCAGAAAAATCCAATTTTGCTCAATTTCGATCAAAATGCAAGGTTAACCCCTTACAAATGTAAATTTTTCAGAAAAATGAAATTTTGCCCAATTTCGATCAAAATGCAAGGTTAACCCCTTACAAATGTAAATTTTTCAGAAAAATCCAATTTTGCTCAATTTCGATCAAAATGCAAGGTTAACCCCTTACAAATGTAAATTTTTCAAAAAAATCCAATTTTGCCCAATTTCGATCAAAATGCAAGGTTAACCCCTTACAAATGTTTATTTTTCAGGAAAATGAAATTTTGCCCAATTTCGATCAAAATGCAAGGTTAACCCCTTACAAATGTATATTTTTCAGAAAAATGAAATTTTGCCCAATTTCGATCAAAATGCAAGGTTAACCCCTTACAAATGTTTATTTTTCAGGAAAATGAAATTTTGCCCAATTTCGATCAAAATGCAAGGTTAACCCCTTACAAATGTAAATTTTTCAGAAAAATCCAATTTTGCTCAATTTCGATCAAAATGCAAGGTTAACCCCTTACAAATGTATATTTTTCAGAAAAATCAAATTTTGCCCAATTTTGAATAAAATGCAAGGTAAACCCTTTACAAATGTATTTTTTTTTTCAGAAAAATGAAATTTTGCCCAATTTCGATCAAAATGCAAGGTTAACCCCTTACAAATGTAAATTTTTCAGAAAAATCCAATTTTGCTCAATTTCGATCAAAATGCAAGGTTAACCCCTTACAAATGTAAATTTTTCAGAAAAATCAAATTTTGCTCAATTCCGATCAAAATGCAAGGTTAACCCCTTACAAATGTAAATTTTTCAAAAAAAAACAATTTTGCCCAATTTCGATCAAAATGCAAGGTTAACCCCTTACAAATGTATATTTTTCAGAAAAATGAAATTTTGCTCAATTTCGATCAAAATGCAAGGTTAACCCCTTACAAATGTAAATTTTTCAGAAAAATGAAATTTTGCCCAATTTCGATCAAAATGCAAGGTTAACCCCTTACAAATGTAAATTTTTCAGAAAAATCAAATTTTGCTCAATTTCGATCAAAATGCAAGGTTAACCCCTTACAAATGTAAATTTTTCAAAAAAATCCAATTTTGCCCAATTTCGATCAAAATGCAAGGTTAACCCCTTACAAATGTATATTTTTCAGAAAAATCAAATTTTGCCCAATTTTGAATAAAATGCAAGGTAAACCCTTTACAAATGTATTTTTTTTTCAGAAAAATGAAATTTTGCCCAATTTCGATCAAAATGCAAGGTTAACCCCTTACAAATGTAAATTTTTCAGAAAAATCCAATTTTGCTCAATTTCGATCAAAATGCAAGGTTAACCCCTTACAAATGTAAATTTTTCAAAAAAAACCAATTTTGCCCAATTTCGATCAAAATGCAAGGTTAACCCCTTACAAATGTAAATTTTTCAAAAAAATCCAATTTTGCCCAATTTCGATCAAAATGCAAGGTTAACCCCTTACAAATGTATATTTTTCAGAAAAATGAAATTTTGCTCAATTTCGATCAAAATGCAAGGTTAACCCCTTACAAATGTAAATTTTTCAGAAAAATGAAATTTTGCCCAATTTCGATCAAAATGCAAGGTTAACCCCTTACAAATGTAAATTTTTCAGAAAAATCCAATTTTGCTCAATTTCGATCAAAATGCAAGGTTAACCCCTTACAAATGTAAATTTTTCAAAAAAATCCAATTTTGCCCAATTTCGATCAAAATGCAAGGTTAACCCCTTACAAATGTTTATTTTTCAGGAAAATGAAATTTTGCCCAATTTCGATCAAAATGCAAGGTTAACCCCTTACAAATGTATATTTTTCAGAAAAATGAAATTTTGCCCAATTTCGATCAAAATGCAAGGTTAACCCCTTACAAATGTAAATTTTTCAAAAAAATCCAATTTTGCCCAATTTCGATCAAAATGCAAGGTTAACCCCTTACAAATGTAAATTTTTCAGAAAAATCCAATTTTGCTCAATTTCGATCAAAATGCAAGGTTAACCCCTTACAAATGTATTTTTTTCAGAAAAATCAAATTTTGCCCAATTTTGAATAAAATGCAAGGTAAACCCTTTACAAATGTATTTTTTTTTCAGAAAAATGAAATTTTGCCCAATTTCGATCAAAATGCAAGGTTAACCCCTTACAAATGTAAATTTTTCAGAAAAATCCAATTTTGCTCAATTTCGATCAAAATGCAAGGTTAACCCCTTACAAATGTAAATTTTTCAGAAAAATCAAATTTTGCTCAATTTCGATCAAAATGCAAGGTTAACCCCTTACAAATGTAAATTTTTCAAAAAAATCAAATTTTGCTCAATTCCGATCAAAATGCAAGGTTAACCCCTTACAAATGTAAATTTTTCAAAAAAAACCAATTTTGCCCAATTTCGATCAAAATGCAAGGTTAACCCCTTACAAATGGATATTTTTCAGAAAAATCCAATTTTGCTCAATTTCGATCAAAATGCAAGGTTAACCCCTTACAAATGTAAATTTTTCCAAAAAAATCAAATTTTGCCCAATTTTGAATAAAATGCAAGGTAAACCCTTTACAAATGTATTTTTTTTTCAGAAAAATGAAATTTTGCCCAATTTCGATCAAAATGCAAGGTTAACCCCTTACAATAATTAATTTTACTCGATAATCAAATTTTGCCCAATTTTGAATAAAAGGCAAGGTTAACCCCTTACAAATGTAAATTTTTCTGAAAAATCAAATTTTGCCCAATTTTGAATAAAAGGCAAGGTTCAACCCCTTACAAATGTAATTTTTTTCAGAAAAATCAAATTTAGACCCAATTTGATCAAAATGCAAGGGGAACCCCTTACAAATATTTAATTTTACTCGAAAATCAAATTTTGCCATATATTCAAAAAAAGGCAAGGTAAACCCCTTACAAATGTAACATTTTTCAGAAAAATGAAATTTTGCCCAATTTCCATCAAAATGCATGGTTAACCCCTTACAAATGTACATTTTTCAGAAAAATCAAATTTTGACCAAATTTGATCAAAATCCAAGGTTAACCCCTTACAAATATTTGATTTTACTCGAAAATCAAATTTTGCCATATTTTCAATAAAAGGCAAGGTAAACCCCTTACAAATGTAACATTTTTCAGAAAAATCCAATTTTGCCCCATTTCGATCAAAATGCAAGGTTAACCCCTTACAAATGTACATTTTTCAGAAAATCAAATTTTGCCCAATTTTGAATAAAAGGCAAGGTAAACCCCTTACAAATGTATTTTTTTTTCAGAAAAATGAAATTTTGCCCAATTTCGATCAAAATGCAAGGTTAACCCCTTACAATAATTAATTTTACTCGATAATCAAATTTTGCCCAATTTTGAATAAAAGGCAAGGTTAACCCCTTACAAATGTAAATTTTTCTGAAAAATCAAATTTTGCCCAATTTTGAATAAAAGGCAAGGTTTAACCCCTTACAAATGTAATTTTTTTCAGAAAAATCAAATTTAGACCAAATTTGATCAAAATGCAAGGGGAACCCCTTACAAATATTTAATTTTACTCGAAAATCAAATTTTGCCATATATTCAAAAAAAGGCAAGGTAAACCCCTTACAAATGTAACATTTTTCAGAAAAATGAAATTTTGCCCCATTTCGATCAAAATGCATGGTTAACCCCTTACAAATGTACATTTTTCAGAAAAATCCAATTTTGACCAAATTTGATCAAAATCCAAGGTTAACCCCTTACAAATATTTGATTTTACTCGAAAATCAAATTTTGCCATATTTTCAATAAAATGCAAGGTAAACCCCTTACAAATGTAACTTTTTTCAGAAAAATGAAATGTTGCCCAATTTCGATCAAAATACAAGGTTAACCCCTTACAATAATTAATTTTACTCGATAATCATTTTGAATAAAAGGCAAGGTTAACCCCTTACAAATGTAACATTTTTCAGAAAAATGAAATTTTGCCCAAATTTGATCAAAATGCAAGGTTTTTCAGAAAAATGAAATTTTGCCCAATTTCCATCAAAATGCATGGTTAACCCCTTACAAATGTAAATTTTTCAGAAAATCAAATTTTGCCCAATTTTGAATAAAAGGCAAGGTAAACCCCTTACAAAAGTAACTTTTTTTCAGAAAAATGAAATGTTGCCCAATTTCAATCAAAATGCAAGGTTAACCCCTTACAAATAATTAATTTTACTTGAAAATCAAATTTTCCCAATTTTGAATAAAAGGCAAGGTTAACCCCTTACAAATGTAACTTTTTTTCAGAAAAATGAAATTTTGCCCATTTTTTATCAAAATGCAAGGTTAACCCCCTTACAAATATTTAATTTTTCAGAAAAATCAAATTTTGCCCAATTTTGAACGAAAGGCAAGGTTAACCCCTTACAAATGTAAATTTTTCAGAAAAATCCAATTTTGCCCAATTTCTATCAAAATGCAAGGTTAACCCCTTACAAATGTAACAATTTTCAGAAAAATGAAATTTTGCCCAATTTCGATCAAAATGCAAGGTTAACGCCTAACAATAATAAAATTTATTCAAAATTCAAATTATGCCCAATTTCTATCAAAATGCAAGGTTAACCCCTTACAAATGTAATTTTTTCCAGAAAAATGAAATTTTGCCCAATTTCCATCAAAATGCAAGTTTAACCCCTTACAAATGTAATTTTTTCCAGAAAAATGAAATTTTGCCCAATTTCCATCAAAATGCAAGTTTAACCCCTTACAAATGTAAATTTTTCAGAAAAATCCAATTTTGCCAAATTTCGACCAAAATGCAAGGTTAACCCCCTACAAATATTTAAGTTTACTCGAAAATCAAATTTGCCCAATTTTGAATAAAAGGCAAGGTTAACCCCTTACAAATGTATTTTTTTCCAGAAAAATGAAATTTTGGCCAACTTTGATCAAAATGCAAGGTTAACCCCTTAAGGTTACCCCAGGAAATGAAATTCTGCCCAATTTCAATCAAAATGCAAGGTTAACGCCTAACAATAATGAATTTTATTCGAAATTCAAATGACGCCCAATTTTGAATAAAAGCAAAGGTTAACCCCTTACAAATGTATTTTTTTTCAAAAATGAAATTTTGCCCAATTTCGACCAAAATGCAAGGTTAACCCCTTACAATAATTAATTTTACTCGATAATCAAATTTTGCCCAATTTTGAATAAAAGGCAAGGTTAACCCTTAGAAATGTAAATTTTTCAGAAAAATTAAATTTTGCCCAATTTCGATCAAAATGCAAGGTTATTAAACCCCTTACAAATATTTAATTTTACTCGAAAAGCAAATTTTGCCCAATTTTGAATAAAAGGCAAGGTTAAACCCCTTACAAATGTAAATTTTTCAGAAAACTGGCATAAAGTACAATCTACCTTTAAATTAAATCAAGTACAATTTCAATGTTTGTAAATAGATTCAAACTAAAATAAAACTTTTTAAGATCTCCGAAAATGATAGATTTAAGATTGCCTTAATTTCTTTTATCAAAAAATTAGAGTCAATTTGACAATAAGATTAACAAATCCATTCAGAAAACAGAATAAATGATGTCATCGTGACTAATAAGTGAAATTAATTTTACCTTTGCAGTCAAATTGAACAAAGAAACTAAACACTTCAAGGTAGATATAAGTACATGTACATGCTTAAACACAATCATGATACTTTTCATTTAGAACTTAAACCTTCCAACAGATACTCTCCAAAATATGTTGGATTTTTAACGATCTTTTATAGGATTGAAAGGTTACTATACATTGGTTTGGGTAAATCTACGTGCATGAACCATAGGGCAAGTTCGAGCAAGGACCAGTGGTTAACTAGTGGTTGGTTCATGACCTACCTAGCACATGCGCACTGAACTTGAAGTGCAAACGACAAACTAGTGTCATGTCCTGACCATCAGAAAATGGCAGTCACACAATGGCGACCCAAAGAGGCCGACCGTCCGAGTTGGAGGATTAACTAATTGATCAAAAATACATGGATGTTGATCACAAAGTAACAGACAAAGGCAAAAGTATGTGCAATATCAGAAAAGACAAATAATGCAAATTGAATTAGTGCTTCTTTGCTTACAAAATAATTAACCAGGGGAGAGCATGCAAATATGAATAATATAATTTAAATGACTAGTTACTGACAGAGCTAAGAACTCAGACTGGGGACCACTACGATGGGACACTGTAGTCTACTAGGCAATGTAAAAACTACTGGGTACAAGGGGGTAAAATTGGAACATACTCACAAGACTATGCAGACCATGAACCCTTTGGTGTAATGGTGGTGGTGGTGATGCAAATTAAAGAACACTGCGTCTTGCACAAAAAAAGGTTAAACTAGCCATACATGTACAGGCACTTAGAAAATAAGGAACTATGCACACTACCATGCCCCAGTCACAATTAAGTCCACGCCCTTCTGGGCTTTCAAAGGAGTTTGATAGTGCTGGGTCAAAATATGCACGAAGAATTTCACGAATGCTGATGCAGTGTGTCTTTCTTGCTTGGAGATATTTGCATAAACACAAAGTGCAGAGGTATACAGGCGAGGAACATATATCCCTAGCACTGCGAGAGTAAATAATAAAGACTACAATGAGAGCTCCATCTGTGGTTTGACTGCAGCCCAAATACTATCTATTGTGGATTAAGTAGGTTAAGTTGAACAAACTAAGCTCAGAAATAGTTTTGTGGCATTAATCTGACTTAAAAACAGGTGCAATACATGACTACCATAGATCACTGTGGCCAAAGCACTCTCTATAGTTTAAAGGTGCAATTGGGACAATAATAAAATCAAATTTTGTTACAATATTTACTAGACTAGAGTAGTCCACCCATCGTCGACTAGACAGAGTTCGGGCTAACATAGTCAAACTATGGTTATATATACATGTACCAATAGTTCTTGCATGAACCTGGCCTTATATGTGCTTTGTTTTAGGTCTCTAATGTAATTTTCTAGTTTTTGTATGATTATGAATAATCATTATCTATTGTGTATTGGCTGTATATGGAAATAAATGTTTATTTGAATTAAATTGAATTGCTTGCTCTGTTCAAGAATTTATTGTAGAAGTAAGCATGATAAATTTTCATATTAAGAATGCCCAAAACACATAGCATCTTGACATTAACATCACGTCTGTATAGCAGTAATACATCCCTCCTCTCATTGTAACCATTGACGTGGTATTTGTGCACAGTTCTCAGGCTGGAAGCAACATACCAAGGGTTAAACCTTCATCTGGTCTTCCACTTGAGGGTACTTGCATTTGTGTTACTGTATGGTACACTTGCTTTGTTGTTTTGGTTGTGACTGATTAGAAGATGTACGGGTGTATCCGCTCTGTGAGTTGGCGGAAGTTGAAGGGGTAGTGGTTGGGCTTTGGGTCCCGGGTCTGGAGGATGTGTATTGGCTTTGGGTTCTAAAACTAGATGTGGCATATGGGTTTTGGGTTGTGGAACTAGATGTGGCATATGGGTTTTGGGCTGTGGAACTAGATGTGGCATATGGGTTGTGGGTTCTAGAACTAGATGTGGCATATGGGTTTTGGGCTGCGAAACTAGATGTGGCATATGGGTTTTGGGTTCTAGAACTAGATGTGGCATATTGGCTTTGGGTTCTGGAACTAGAGGTGGTATATGGGTTCCCAACTGGTACTCGCTGGGCTGTGGCTGGAGGAACTCTGCTTCGTGGTGCAGGTGTGGGTGCTGGCTGGTACCTGGACACCTCGCTGTACTTGATCAGATATTCGGGGTACACCTGGTTTTTTTCAAAGATGACATATATCTCGGGATCTGCCGTGTCGTTCACACAGGAATCATACAGGTCTTCTAGTGGCTTCCGCGGGTCTTTGGGTGGCGGCCTTGTATATTCTGATTGGCCGGTTGTATAGGTGCCCACCAGAACTTTTGCGACGAACATATAGCGGTGGTTGAGATCGTCGGACTTGGTGTAGCTATGGGCGAAGACAGCGTCGCGGGCAAAGTAGCTGCCTTTGCCATACCGAGTACCAACGTTACTTCCGCTGAGTCGCCAGTCAAAATTCTGACTGCAGATGGCGCTGGCATATTTTTTAGATGTCGTTCCGTGAAACAGCTGCTCAGTACAGACAGCTTTGCTGCCATTTTTCTTCTTCATTCGTTCACTAATTCTGTGAGTAATAAGACCATTGATTATGTGTAGAAAAACGAACCAACAGTTAGCTAAATAGGCTTGTAGTAGGTGAGATATCCGCATGCATTTGTAGGACTGAATGATGTTCTTTTTTCATCTGAAAAAAGTCTGAGATTTGATTTGATTTGATTTTTCAAGCCTGTGAATGAACTTACATCTGGGCCGAGCGATAAAAGGTAAAAAAAATCCTTTACAAAATGTCAAATGAGTTTCCTCAATTGGTACTTTCTACAGTTAATCAGATAATCAGTTGATATTACTTTCTTGGGGAAAAAAAAAGACTGCCACCCAAAACACTGGAAAACAACAATAAACAATGACACTCCTTAATGGCAACAGATTGAATTGTTTAAATTGTAATCATTTCTACATACATGAATGAACATTGTGCTGCACTTTCACATCATTGCTGCTGTTGTATGGGCTCTATGCATAATCAATTAAGAGATGGTGCTTTTTAAAGACCACCTTTGAGAAACCAGCTCCATGAATTGGACAAATCGCATGGGTGTACTGGCTCACGTGCGTGTAGCTAAAAAGTACGCATTTTTTTTTCTTCTGAATGTGCATGCACAAGGCCATAGCGTCTTTGCGTGAGCGACTGCGTTTGGATGTTTCTCGCAGTGGTCTCCCCCAACTCCCCCTTTCTTGTTCATGAGCCCACACACAGAAATTTGGAAATACCATGTGCCCCCAAGTTCAATCTTTGCATAGATCACTGCAGATGTTGCCGACTTCAATACCTATGGTTCCAGCAACTCATACGCGTCATACTGCCTGAGCTACTGATGAAATCAATACTTACTTGTAGAAGTCTTCCCACAGCTCTAGGTTTTGTATTCTCTCGACAGAGACGATGGTTCCCTTGTTATCCATGGTGTCCCAGAACAAGTTGGCGATGACGGTGTATTCAGGGCTGGTGTAGTCCGTCAGCCTGACCAGTTTCATTTCTGTCTGTGTGCCTCGATTATCCCAGGTCGTTGGCACGACAACACCGCCTGTTTGTGCTTTAGAAAGCTCCCTGTACATTTTTAAAATTGAATTTGAATTGATACCAGTGAATACTAACACACACAAAAACTTCAATTTAAAAAACATTTTTTTTAACTTTTAAAAAAGCTTAACATCAAATTTCTAATCCTGGAAAAGTACTTGCCATTATAGTGAGGTACCTTAGTGAAAAAATCGTGACACAGTGGACAAAAGCACAATTTTTTCACCAAAGCATCTCCATGGTATACCTTTTCGAAAAAAAGACGGACGCAAAAAATTGGATGATGGGAAGGGCATGTATGACGTCATTATGACGTCATCAGCTAATTATTACATGAAAAAAATATAAATTGATAATAATCTTTAGAACTACAAGCATTACAGCAACAAATGTGGTATCAAATTAAAGGAGACAGCAAGCTCTTTTATTTGAGCGGTATGTCATGGGGATTGAATATAGTTAAGGGTGATTTTGTGGGTCAAAAAAACCTTTTTTTTGGTCAAAAGACATGTTTTTTAGGCTAGAATCATGGATTTTGGGTAGTCACATTGACACTTTGTTTAAACATGCATACAGTATGTGGTATTGTGAGATGTTGATTTTAAGTTCGAGAGAAAAGTTCAAATTCTATGCCAAAAGAGTTTTTGTAATTAATTATTAGTATCATAAATATGTTTAAACTTGTTCCAGAGATAAGCGGAAAAGTGAGGCATCTTATAGCGAGCTACATTAGTAACAAAAATGCTAAGGATCGTTACATGGTATTTAAAAGCACCATTTTTTTCACCAAAAGCTTTGCCAATGTGTTAGGATCAAAAATAGGGTAGGATGATAAAAATCAGATGACAGGAAGGGTACTTTATGAGGTAATTTAATGACGTCACAATATACTACCGAGCTTGTACAGTAATTAATTGTAGAAAATAAGGTCGTGAAGCGTTGTGATGAGATTCCAAGTAATTAATTTGACATTTTGAGGGTCAGGGAATTGAAGAGTGATATAATCAGTGACATTTAAGTAACAATAAGCTGATTTGCTGTTGCAGTGACGTCACTATTTTCAAATTTTCTTGAAAAATCTCAGCATTTTTGATTATGGACAAAAGTGCTACAATGACGGTATTTGTCACGCAGAAAATAAATTGTGTGAAATTGTGCGGCTCCTTGAATTTGGTCTTTACCACATCCATTTGTTTTGACCATTTACTATAGCTGGAAGACGTAACATTCTTATGTGTTGTATATTACGGGTAATGAGGTATGGGTTAGGAGCCAGACAGAAAGGAACGTGGTAACCTGAATAGATTAACAGAGTGGCCGGAAATGGTGATGGTACGTCTTTTAACAATGTATTACAAACGGGGGCCGCCCGATAGTCCGAAGGTCCAATAGTCCGAAGGTTCGATAGTTCAAATGCACAAAATTTCCATAAGGGGGGTTCATTAGTCCGAAAATGAAATAAGGTTCGTTAATCCGAACATTTGATGCAATAGTCCGAAGGTTCATTAATCCGAAGGTTCATCAGTCTGAAGGTTTATTTATCCGAAGGTTCGATAGTCCGAATTTAGAATAAGGTTAATCAGTCCGAAGGTTCAATAGTCCGAAACGAAAATAACAAGCCCGCGGGAACGGGGGGGTGCTGTGGGTGCTGCAGCACCCCCAACTTTTTGGATTGGGGTGCTGAAATATGCTTCAGCACCCCCTTCTCCCGGGCAAAAAAATGTGTTCCAGCCAGCAGTGTTCTACGACGTTGAAATTGCGCCGCTGCGCTATACATTATGCTTGCCCTAAAAATATGTCCGGCTAAGCGCGGCGCTTCGAACGTCTAGCACAAAGTAACACTGTAAAATATCAGGAGGAGGTATTTTCTAAATTTTCAGGCAGTGCAGAATCAATATTTCTCTCAATGTATCTAAAATCATGACATGTCTATGATATTTCCGCCATGGTGGAAGCTTTGACCCGAAAAAAATAACCTCGGCCATGACAATGGTGGCAAACTGGATTATGCTTGCCACGATTTTTTTCATTCGATCTTTCAACAGGGGCAAAGTTCATACCTTTCCCCTGAAGGTTTTTCTTTTCATTTAAAAGTTTCATTGACGTTGCTAGCATTCTGTACTCAACATTAACAAATATCAAGGTTCACACACATCCCAACCTAATAGGAGTGGGACGGGCTTCCATTGAAACTAGTTCCAGTGTAGTTTCGTTTTAATAAAGAAGCTATTCATGTATTACCCTTTGCAAGTTTTTTCTCATAAAAACTCAGTAGACCGATAAATCCTTGCCTAGCCCCAAACTTGCCACCTACCGATCATAAACATAAAGATGCATTTGGTTTGTTAATCTTTTATATTTGCCATTCCCTGTAACAAACAAATAACACTGCAAATATATCAAGAGCTACATCGTTTAGGCCTATGTGAATATTTTTATGAACAGAAATTCACCTGCTTCCAGTGGAACCATTTTGTTTTAACTTGAACCAAAAAACACCCTTTCGGATTTTATAAGTTTAAGTATACACTTCAGTATATTTCATCACAGTGCATCCAGAGTCCAACATTTTCAGGGGCCTTAAAGCAGGCCACGATTTTTTTCATTCGATCTTTCAATAGGGGCAAAAGTTCATACCTTTCCCCTGAAGGTTTTTCTTTTCATTTAAAAGTTTCATTGACATTGCTAGCATTCTGTACTCAACATTAACAAATATCAAGGTTCACACACATCCCAACCATGGAGATGCTTTGGTGAAAAAATGGTGCTTTTGTCCACTGTGTAACGATCCTTAGCATTTTTGTTACTAATGTACCTTACTATTATGTAAATATACATGTTCACTTTAATACCAAGCATGAACTAGCCTAAGCCTTTTTTGTCTTGATTGTAATATAAAACACAACAACTGTTGACTGTGTGATGTTGGACATGTTTTTTTTTTCCATTTGTTCTGTTCTGTGTTTTTACCCACCCTGCAAGGATGCACCTTGGGTTCCATGTGTCCCTCCGGTGTACAAAAACACAATGTCCTTTCACAGCAGTCGACAATTCAAATGATCATTTTTTTTTTGTTCAAAACTTCGTAACTCAAAAAGAAAAAAATTTCTCACTTTGCCAGTATCTTGCGTTCGTCCATGGCTACAAATTTGGGTCTTCGCCGGACTTCTCTGCGTGTACCGTATCGGACATTAGTCTGCTTCATTGCAGTGAAGTCCAGTGTGTATCGTTGAGTCCCAGCGGTAAAGTTGATGACCGACTCCCCATTTGTCCTCTCATAGTCCACAAACTTCTGCTCAATGGTGGCACTGTCGATGCCCGCCTGTAAGCCTTTAGCATTCTGAAAAATAAAAAAGAAAGGAACAAAAAAGATTTTGAGATAATACTTGGCAAAAATAAAAATCCAGTTTAAAAGAAACAGTTAAAACATAGTTAATTTCCAGACAAATCACAAGTGAATTTATAAGTATGTCGTTGTCACCGTTCATTTAAATAGCTTGTTTCTGATCGGTCAAGCCTTAAGTTTGCAGTTCCCTGTTATCAGTATCTTTGTTTAAAGAAAGAAAACACTACAACACATTCATTGTAAGGCAGACCTGTTCAGAGTATACAATCCATTTTTCTGTCTCGTCCTGCCAATACCAGATCCACTCGGTGCAGAATGCCTTCTCCCAGTTACTCTTCAAGATACTGGACGAGGTGGACAAGCGACGGAGGGGAATGTCAATCGTTGAACCATGCATGCGAGTTCCATCGAAATAGATGTACATTATAGGCCATGGCACACCACTGTGAAAAGAATATACTATTCAGTGTGATAATTGGAAGGAACTTTTCTCCGGGTGACAGAATTGTAGTCAAGTCCATCACAAGTCAATCAAAAGTTAGGTCACAAGTATCAGAGGATGAACAATAACAAAGAAATAATTTCTTCAATATTTTGCAACTTGACTTGAGATCAGATGAATTTTGATAGATCTGTGTGCACCTGACTACAACTCTGCAGGCAAATATTCATTATTCAAAGGTTCTCATGTAACAATCAGCTGCACTACTTGGGCTTCATTCAAGGCAGTGCTCCGACCCTCAAACTTATTCTATTTTAGGAACTCAGGAACTGATTTCTGAAACCAAGTTACAGCTTTTGTACATTAATTAAAGAAAAGAAAAACAAATAGATTATGTACGTAAATAGTGCATTGGCATGCGAGTTTTGGTCACAGCAGATGTGCTTCCTACACTTTCAAACTCTAAATACTGAAAAGCATATGAACATACCTGAAACTGTAATGCTCGTTGCATTCCACATCACAAAATGACCTCTCCACACGATCATTCTCAGTGGAAGGAATGTCCTGCCATTCCCTGACTTCAACCGTCGTGTCCAGGAACTGCCAGTGGTACGGGGTAGGGAAGTGACGCTTGTGAGTGTACTTATCATCCTGGTATATGCACCTGCCCCGTAAAAAGTACGGGCAGATATAGGTAAACTCCCTCTGGTTTGGACGACGGGTCGCCTGGTTGTCTTTCATCGTCATGGTTTCAGAGGTAGGAGAGACTGGTGGAAGAATCTGGGATGGATCTGATGGGTTCCTGGTCTTGGGTCGGACAACTTGGACACTTTCTTGAGGCTTCAAATAGGTTTGCAATGCTGGTTCCTCACGATCACCTAGATCACTGGCTCGTGCTTTAAGAATTCTGGCTAACTGCTCCCCAAATAGGACTTCTGGCTTCTTGGATGCGAGTAACTGCGCTCCCGCTTCAACAGGCTGGGGAGCTTTGGAAAGCCTCTCTGCAGCTTTTGGGAATTTTGTTTTCCTTCCCTCTTCAGAGGAAAGAGAAGCTCCAGTGTCTGACCATGCTGAGGGATGGGCCAAGGATTCAGCCTTCTTTGTTTTGACGTACAAATCCTTTTGCACAGACGAGGCTTTCTTTGAAGGAGGCATGTCTGTTTCCCAGGGCACGCCCAGTAAGCTTTCCGTACCCACTTCAGAGTTGTAAGCAGTTCGAGTATCTTGAAGACCCCCACACGATACTTTTCGGGTGCGAATGCTTGATTTTTTAGGAGCGCCGGATTCGTTTGGCCCCGTTCTGCCCACAGGATCACTTCAGGATAATAACAGGATGAAAAAGAACAGACTAAGTAGAAAAAATGTAAATAACAATATTTTCCATAGTTATGGGAGTCAACAAATTATTTCATGATGGGTTCAACTTTGACAGGACAAGCAAAAGGGTAAGATCTACCCAAACCTTGCATGGCTAATAGATACAACAATGACTCTCATTAATTAACCAAAAAGTGGGGGGAGGGCCTAAGAAAAGCACTGAGGGACATCTCCCCATTTGAATTATGGGGAAAAATAAAAAATAAAAAAAAAAATAAAAAATATGATCAGGAAAATAGACATACACAATGGGAGTGAATTGCATCAACCCTTGTGAATATCAGGAGATGAACAATTTCAGGCTCAACAGTTTCTTTTCTTGTTAAAGTAAGGAAATTTCAGCAACCCTTGAGGAAAAAAGTTTATAATCTTTGCGGATTAAACCTTGGGATAGAGAACTGCCAATATCTTTGTCCATCACAAGATCCTTGTTCTGATGATGGCTTCCACTTGGGTCTTCGTGCCAGGGGACGAGTGTAGTCCAGTGCTGGACTCGTCAGTTCCATTTGGGAAAAGTCAATCTGGCATTCGCCCAGCCTTGTAGTGACGTCGAGCTGAGGCGATCCTTTCTGAATCTCGAAGTTCAGATATTTCCTTTCAATTTCAAGGCTGCTTGACGAGGGGGAACAGGAATCTGACTTCTGTGAAAGAAAAAAACTATTTAAGTGGATGTAGCCATAATAGGTAAAATGTCATTCTTCTTTTTAAAAAAATACAAAATAATCAATATTTTAGTGGAAGGAGATTTAAAAAAAAAAGGCGGATAGATGGTTTGGGATTAAAGATCAGTGGTGCTCTTGAAAAAGTAGATTTTTTTCTTCTTGAATTTTGAATATCTATGATTTGTTTAAATTAAAAGAAAAAACAACTTTTTGTCCGATATTGGGTGTCTGCACCCCTCTGAATTTAAAGAAAAATTTTAGACACAAATTGCGCACAAAATGTGTCTTTATACCGGGAACTTGATCCAGTTTTGGTTGATGTCCTGCCAGTACCACGTCCACAGAGTGCTATGACCCTTCCGGGGACGGCCTGCTTCTGACACTGTGGAAAGACGTCGCACATCCAAGTCTCTGTCATTCCTGTGACTACTGACGCTGAAAGACTCCACGCCGAATGTTATCGTCACTTTGTAGAAAACTCTTTTCATGTTTTTCTCAGACCTGCAAGAAGTAAAGAAAATGTCTCCTGAGAAAGTGTCTGTTAAAAACTGAAATAATAACTAGGAGAGTATGCGACAGCGACACTCCTGAAGCATATGCTAGGGAACAACAATTGAAAGCAAGACTCACCAAGCAAGAATGGCTCCACTAAACTCTCCATTTTTGACATCGCAGAAATGTTCCTCGATTGCGTCATTTGGCTGCCGCGTGAAGTCCAGCCAGTCAGAGCGCCTTCCATCTCGAATCTGCCACTGGTAAGGACTGGAGCAGTGCCTGAAACCCTGGTGCGAGGAGGTGAACTTGCAGCCCCCGCTCACATAGAAGGAGCAGATCTTGAGATATTTGTCCAGCCAGGGCCGAGCTTGTTGGGTTGTCCGTCGGTAAGGCTCCTTCCCCCTTGAGTGATCTTCACTGTCATCACAATCACGATAATTATCTTGTGAAGATGTTTCATCACAATGCTTGAAACTCAGCAGGAAATTCATCAACTTTTCCTGGGGGTCTGACCTTCCCATGGGCGGCTTTCTCAGAGTCGCCGCAAAAAGCTCCCTGAATTTATGCAGTGACTGACCATTTAGGTGCTTAATCCTGAACTGTCTGCGGAACAAGGCTTGCGGTTGCCTGCAACTGAGGTCGTGGGAGAATTTGCAGGCACTTCCGGCTCGGCAAGACTGCAGTATGTAGTGACTGTCATGTACAAACAGGATTTTAAAAATCTGATTACTTGGAGTGAGGCAGTGTCCCTATTCCCCCCTTAGTTTGGTACGCAACTATAAAATGTCTGCACTGATTTTTCACAATCAGGGCGGGATATTTCTAAAAGTGGGAGGGGCCACAGTGCACAAACATTAAAAAATTTAAACAGTCACATTCAAAAAGAATTTCACAAACAGTCAGATCAAACCAGTATGTCTAGCAAGCCCTGTGACTGGTCATATGTCAGTCAACAGACAGTGCACAGACAAAGCAGGCCAAATATATGTCCCTGTTTTTAATTGCAAAGTACTTGATTGATTACCGGCAGATATGGAGAGAGTTACAGTAGTTCTCTCTGCTACAGCCGTCTTTGTAGTACAGATACGCTGTGCAAAGCTTCAGCTCATCTTTGGAGGACATTTTGTTGTTAGTTGTTACTCCTGTAGGGTCTGCCTCTTTTGCTACGTTGAGCCTTCTTGCCCGGCTCAGCCGTGATCTATGCTGATTATGATGAAGCCTGTAATTTGGCAAACTGAGGCCCTAGTATAGTGCAGAAAAAAATCAAGCAAAATCAAATCAGGCCAACTCTACTCACTCTTTAGCTGCCACATTCTCCAAAATGTCCATATAAAAAAAAAACGAAGGAAAGGTCCCCCGTCTTTCAACAGCCAAGTTCGAGGTCTCAATTCAATTTTTAAAGCTGACTTTTCTTCAACATTGAAAGAGAATTAAGCCAAGTGATTTGAATTTGAAGCCCAAGACTAGACTGGTATACATGTCTAATGTACGCATGTCTAACTTTCTGATAAAGATTGACTACACAATAGCATGTGGAGGGAATGTATAGGAACAGAGAGCGGGTACCAAATGTTTCTTTCGACTTTCTTTGCTATTGAGTCTATTTTCAACTGTAAAGATAGCCGTTAAAATCATGTTACAGCTGTCGACCCTCAACAGCCACTACGTGACAGCGCGTGCGTTGTCCAACGCAAATTGAATGCGAATGCGTCGAAATAGATCCTCGTCGTTTTAGGTGGACCATGTGGACTGATACATTTTTCTACAGACATGCTTATTATTATTAACACGGGTTAAAGCACACAATTTAAGAAGAATCACGACATACCACCGGAGCTACCACTTGACTCCACTGCGCCTTTGCAATAACAACATTTAATGTGCCCAAACTAAGACGAAATCATCCCCTCATAACCGAGAAAAGTCTTGCGCCTAGGGTGGAACCCATTTTCCGGAATGGAATTATTGCGCGGCTGTATATATTGCGTGCTTTGGGGAATCCCCGTTTTTTGTCTGAATGACGTCTAGAGGCAGTAGTAGAGGGCGCTGTACACAAAGCACAGGGGAAGGCGTGGTAACTCTGAGGAGGCTTAATTTTATAAAGAAAAGTTAAGTTTATAAGAAAAGTTTATTTCTGGGAATCCGCACGATTGCCGGCCGAGATATCACGCCTGGCCGAGTCCGTATCTGATCATGGAGCTGGGATGATCACCGTCTACGGTGTCAGTATGATCTTATTGCAATGAGATATTATCTCCGGATCCTCGAGGTTATAGAAGCAAGGTCTTAGACATTATTACACCTTCAGCCTAACACCTGAAATCATAGTTGCAATTATTTCCAGGCGAGAAATTTTATTAAATCAAAGCTTCGTCCTCGGCAACAAGTCTACGAATAAGAATGGAAGATTTGTTAGAACTTCACATAAAACCCAAACTCGCTAAAGCACCGTACATTTTAAAATTCGACAGATGAACATGCTGTTTGAATCGTAGTCAAAGGCGGGCCCAGAACCAAATTTTCAGCGGGGGTGGGGGGAGGGGGGGGGGGGGGGGGGGGGGGGGGCAGTTCCATCTGTTTTTTTTTTCTCAATTTCTAATTTCCTAGAAATAAACATGTATATTGAATACACGCCCTGCTAGGGGCGGGGTGTCCGGGGCATCCTCCTATACCGGAAGATTTGAAATCTACGATGCTTTCTTCTATATTCTAATACCTTTCGGAACTGAAGTTTTGCCTATTTCAATCAAAATGCAAGGTTAACCCCTAACAAATGTTTAATTTTACTCGAAAATCAAATTTTGCCCAATTTTGAATAAATGGCAAGGTTAATCCCTTAGAAATCTCAATTTTTCAGAAACATGAAAATTTGCCCTATTTCAATCAAAATGCAAGGTTACCCCTTACAAATGTTTAATTTTACCTTAAAATCAAATTTTTCCCAATTTTGAAATGAAAAATTGACATTTCTAAGGGATTACCGTTAGAAATCAATTTTTCAGAAAAATGAAATTTTGCAAAATTTTTATCAAAATGCAAGGTTAACCCCTAAGAAGTCTTAATTTTTCAGAAAAATTAAGTTTTGCCCTATTTCAATCAAAATGCAAGGTCTTACAAATGTTTAAGTTTACTCAAAAATCAAATTTTGCCCAATTTTGAATAAATGGCAAAGTTAATCCCTTAGAAATCTTCATTTTTCAGAAAAATGAAATTTCGACTTATTTCAATCAAAATTCAAGGTTAACCCCTTACATTTTTAGGTTTCTGACAAAAACAAAATTTCATCAAAGTTTGATTCAAATACAAGGTTAACCCCGTACAGTTTTAAATTTTCAAGAAATGTTGAACTTCAGCCAATTTTCATTCAAATGCACAGTTAGCCCTTTAACATTGATAATTTCCCAAAAAGTAATATTGCAAATTGTTTTTCATTAAACTGGCATAAAGTACAAACTGCCTTAAAATTAAATCAAATACACTTATTTCCACAATATATATATCAATGTTTGTAAATTGATTCCAACTAAAATGAAACTTTCAAAAGATCTCCAAAAATAATAGATGTCTACTTGAAACTACACTAATGTGCTAAACTACATTTACTAGATGGCTACACCTATATAATTACTCGGCTCTAGTCTAACATACGTAGGTAATATTACAGAAGTTTTAGATCACAACTATTCCATTTGTGACAATATTGCGATAAGGCTGCCCCTCCATCACTAGTGGATGCCTTAATTTCTTTGTCTGAATAAGAGAGTCATATTGACAATAAAATTAGCTCAAAATTTAAATACTGGTTGTACGTCACTATAAACCTGCAACAATATAATAGCACATTGGGCCTAAGCTCATGAATATGATTAATATTAAAACATCCAAAATTCATTTTTACTTCAAAGTCAAACTGGTATCATGTTTGGACCACATGTTTCATGTTTGGACCAAATTTAGTCTACTAGCACTCCATTATTTCATGGATATAACAAATCCACACAGAAAACAGAATGAAATGAGGTCATTGTAACTGTAAATAAGTGAAATTAATTTTACATTTGAACAATTAATTATTTCATCATTCTATTGTAATGTACACAGTCAAATTGAACAAAGGAACTAAACACTTCAAGGTAGATATATTAAGTACATGCTTAAATACAATCATGATATTTTTCAATTAGAACCTAAACCTTCCAACAGATACTCCAAAATATGTTGGGTTTTTTAACAATCTTTTATAGGATTGAAAGATACTGTTTTACTATACATAAGCCTCTCTGAGATATGGTGGACACAATATATAGGAGGGCGCTATTAGGTTTGTGGGTAAAATCTACGTGCGTCACAGGGCAATTTTTGTTGATAGTTGGTCCCCTCTTTTATATCAAGAATGCCCAAAACACGTAGCATCTTTACACGAACAGCAAGTCTACAGCAGTAATATGTCCCTCCTCTCTGTGTACATTGATGAGGGGGTACTTGTACAAAGTTCTGGAAACAAACAAACCAAGGGTTAAACCTTCTGGCATTTTACTTGCATTTGTGTTACTGTATGGTGCACTTGCTTTGTTGTTTTTGTTGGGACTGATTAGAAGATGCACGGGTGTATCCGCTCTGCGAGTAGGCAGATGAAGTTGAAGGGGTAGTGGTTGGTCTTTGGGTCCCAGAATTGGAGGGTGTGTATTGGCTTTGGGTTCTGGAAGTAGATGGGTTTTGGGTGGTTAGAGTAACTCTGCTTCGTGGTGCGGTGCTGCCAGACATGTAGGTCGGAGCAGTCTGGTACCTGGACACCTCACTGTACTTGATCAGATATTCGGGGTACACCTGGGTTTTTTCAAAGATGACATATATCTTGGGATCTGCCGTGTCGTTCACGCAGGAATCATACAGGTCTTCTAGTGGCTTCTGCGGGTCTTTGGGAGGCGGCCTCGTATATTCTGATTGGCCGTTTGAATAGGTGCCCACCAGAACTTTTGCGACGAACATATAGCGGTGGTTGAGATCGTCGGACTTGGTGTAGCTATGGGCGAAGACAGCGTCGCGGGCAAAGTAGCTGCCTTTGCCATACCGAGTACCAACGTTACTTCCGCTGAGTCGCCAGTCAAAATTCTGACTGCAGATGGCGCTAGCATATTTTTCTGACGTCGTTCCGTGAAATAGCTGCTTGGTAGAGACAACTTTGCTACCATTTTTCTTCTTCATTCGTTCACCCTTTCTGTGAGTAACAGAAAGATGTGTAAAAATGAACCAACAATCATTGAGGTGAGAAATTTGCAAGCAAGCATGTTCTACTGTTATCTGAAGAAGTCTAGGATTTCTTTTTCTTTTTCAAGCCTGTGAACGAACTTACATGCTAATACTTACAACATACTTAATCCTAATATTTACATTTCAATAAGAGGTATAAAAAATCCTTAGTAATCCTTGTAACAATTTAAAATGAGTTTCAACTGTTATTTTCCACTCAAACATTAACTCAGCTGATATCATGAAGTCAATTTTGCTATTTTGAAAAAATGCCATGATAAAAGAAAATCATAAGGTATGCTAATCGTATAACGATGCTTCATTTGTTTTTGTTTGTACACGCATAAATGACATAATTCTGCCCTTTCAAATATTACATGTATTAAATCCAGCTCTTAAAGAGGTTGTGGAATGCTCGAAGACATTTCCGTCATTTTTCGGGTATATGTAGCCTAAGGTGTGATGAAATAAAAACGACTATTGTTTCTGTCATGAAATGAGTACAAAAGGTACTTTTGAGAGCTGTTTTTCAGTTCCAGTTTCGACCCGAACGTGCAACTGTGTAAAAGTCGTCGTTGCGGGCAGCAAACAAAACACAGTAAATCGTGACGTAATAAACAGGACTCCCGATGCACAGTAGCATACACGAGTCCTGTTTATTACGTCACGATTTACTGTGTTTTGTTTGCTGCCCGCAGCGACGACTTTTACACAGTTGCACGTTCGGGTCAAAACTGGAACTGAAAAACAGCTCTCAAAAGTACCTTTTGTACTCATTTCATGACAGAAACAATAGTCGTTTTTATTTCATCACGCCTTAGGCTACATATACCCGAAAAATGACGGAAATGTCTTTGAGCATTCCACAACCTCTTTAAGAAAGCTGTGTTCTGTATGCCGGTTCGAATGCTGTTGACATTTTGAAAAATGAAATTTTGAAATATGGGAATACCATGTTCGCCCAAAAACTTCGCATAACTGCCGATATTGACGACTTCAACGCTTATGATTCCAGCAACTATTAGCATTGCTAATACACATAGCTACTGACAAAATAAAAAGTGATACTTACTTGTAGAAGTCTTCCCAGAGTTCCAGGTTTTGTATTCTCTGGATGGAGACGATGTTTCCCTTGTTATCCATGGTGTCCCAGAACAAGTTGGCGATGACGGTGTATTCAGGGCTGGTGTAGTCCGTCAGCCTGACCAGTTTCATTTCTGTCTGTGTGCCTCGATTATCCCAGGTGGTTGGCACGACAACACCACCTGCTTGCGCTTTAGATAGCTCCCTGTACATTTAATGAATTTAAATTGACTTAATTTGAATACCAAAACACACATAAAAACTATTAAGAGATCATTAGCATTAAATTTCAACCAAACAATTTCCTGTCTAAAAATGTTGCTTACTTTGCCAGCATCTTGCGCTCGTCCATGGCAACAAACTTAGGTCTTCGCCGGACTTCTCGGCGTGTTCTGTAATGCACATTAGTCTGCTCCATTGCAGTGAAGTCCAGTGTGTATTGTTGATTCCCAGCCATAAAGTTGACAACTGACTCCCCATTTTTGCTTTCATAGACCAGGAACTTCTCCTCAATGGCGGCACTGTCGATGCCTGCATGTATGCCTTTGGAATTCTAAAAAAAAAGGGAGAGAAAGGAATAAAAAAGGTTTGGCGATAATACTTAGCAAAAGTAATTGTCAGAAAGAAATAGCGAAGTCTAGTTTAAAACAAATATTTAAACCATTCAATTTCAAGACAAAAAAACAAAAAAAGTTTTTGCAAGTTTGCGATTGTCACAGTTAGCCTTAAGTTGGCAGTTTCCTGGTATGTCAATGTCAAATTTGTACCAAGAAAGATGATAGATATTACAAAGTATTAATTGTAATCATGCAGACCTGTTCGGAATACACAATCCATTTTCCTGTCTCATCACGCCAATACCAGATCCACTCGGTGCAGAACGCGTTCTCCCAGTTGCTCTTCAAGATACTGGACGAGGTGGACAAGCGACGGATGAGAATGTCAATTGTTGATCCATGCATGCGAGTTCCTTCAAAAAAGATGTCCCCTATAGGTGGTACACCACTGTAGAAACAAGAGTAAAATAGTTAAAAGGACGCTGTATACATGTATGTCATTCAGGGGAATGTAAGATGCACAAACAATCAATGGCCATTACCAGATGGAATTAGTCAAGTCCATCACAAGTCAAACTACATGTCCGTCACACATGAAAAGGAAGGACACAGGTAATACAGGCATGCATGCCACTGGGAATTTAGAAGGAAAAAAAAAACGAGGAAATTCCAAAACACACAAGACTCTTTACAGTGTTTTTCAATTTGTAGCAGCATTCATGAGAAGTAAACAAATGAGAAAATCAGCAGATCTGAAGGAAAGTTCCATATGCCTGAAGTTATAAGATATGAACAGTGACAAAATCGTGAGTAGCCTCTGTCATAGACAACTTGAATAGTTTGTAGAGTTATTGAAATGATATTACACAAACATAATGCCACAAAAACAAAATGTACTAGTTAGGCTTTTTCTGGGCAGAACTCCAACCCACGAACTTGTGTTTCTTGAGCTGTTTGATTTCTAATGACCATCAGTGAATCAAACCAACGCAGATATGTGGGACATTAAATTACTACCCAGAAAAAATCAAAAATTAACTTGATAATTATAGTTTGATTATAAGATGTGTGTGAAAAGAATGCAAACTCACCTTAAACTGGAATGGGTGCCGCGTTGCACATCACAAAATGACTTCTCCACATGATCGTTCTCAGCGGAGGGAAAATCCTGCCAGTCTGCTCCGTGAACCATCGTGTTTAGGAACTGCCACTGGTACGGGGTAGGGAAGTGACGCTTGTGAGTGTACTTATCATCCTGGTGTATGCACCTGCCCCGTAAAAAGTACGGGCAGATGTAGGTGAACTCCCTCTGGTTTGGACGACGGGTCGGCTGGCTGTATTTTGTCAATGTGGTGTCAGAGGTGGAAGAGATCAGTGGAAGGATCTGGGATGGACCTGATGGGTTCTTGGTCTTGGGTCGGACAACTTGGACACTTTCCTGCGGCTTCATGGAGCTTTCTTGCAACACTGGTTCCTCATGATCACCTAGATCAATCACCTGGTTGTCTTTCATCAATGTGGTGTCAGAGGTGGAAGAGATCAGTGGAAGGATCTGGGATGGACCTGATGGGTTCTTGGTCTTGGGTCGGACAACTTGGACACTTTCCTGCGGCTTCATGGGGCTTTCTTGCAACACTGGTTCCTCATGATCACCTAGATCACTTGCTCGTGCTTTAAGGAAGCTGGCTAACTGCTCCCCAGATTGGTCATCCGTTAATGCTTTAGGCTTCTTGGATGCGAGTAACTGCGCTCCCGGTTCAACAGGCTGGGGAGCTTTGGAAAGCCTCTCTGCAGCTTTTGGGAATTTAGTTTTTCTTCCCTCTTCAGAGGAAAGAGAAGCTCCAGTGTCTGACGATGCTGAGGGATGGGCCAAGGATTCAGCCTTCTTTGTTTTGACGTACAAATCCTTTTGCACAGACGAGGCTTTCTTTGAAGGAGGCACGTCTGTTTCCCTGGGCACGCCCAGTAAGCTTTCCGTACCCTTACCCACTTCAGAGTTGTAAGCAGCTTGAGTGTCTTGAAGACCCCCACGTGATAGTTTTCGGGTGCGAATGCTTGATTTTTTAGGAGCGCCGGATTTGTTTGGCCCCGTTCTGCCCACAGGATCACTTCAGGATAATAACAGGATGAAAAAGAACAGACTAAGTAGAAAAAATGTAAATAACAATATTTTCCATAGTTATGGGAGTCAACAAATTATTTCATGATGGGTTCGACTTTGACAGGATAAGCAAAAGGGTAAGATCTACCAAAGCCTTGCATGGCTACTAGTTACAACATTGACTCTCATTAATTAACCAAAAAGTGGGGGGAGGGCCTAAGAAAAGCACTGAGGGACCTCTCCTCATTTGAATTTTGGGGAAAAATGAAAAATAATTTAAAAAAAAATTAATAAAAAATATGATCAGGAAAATAGACATGCACAATGGGAGTTAATTGCACCAACCCTTGTGAATGTAAATCGTCATACATATCATCATATCAGGAGATAAACAATTTCAGGCTGAACAGTTTCCTTTCTTGGGGGAGGAATAAAGTAAGGCAATTTCAGCAACCCTTGAAGAAAAAAGTTTATAATCTTTGCGGATTAAACCTTAGGATAGAGAACTGCATATACCTTTGTCCATCACAAGATCCTTGTTCTGATGATGGCTTCCACTTGGGTCTTCGTGCCAGGGGATGAGGGTAGTCCAACGCTGGACTCATCAGTTCCATTTGGGAAAAGTCAATCTGGCATTCGCCCAGCTTTGTAGTGACGTCGAACTGAGGCGATCCTTTCTGAATCTCGAATTTCAGATATTTCCTTTCAATTTCAAGGCTGCTTGACAAAGGGGAACAGGAATCTGAATTCTGTGAAGGAAAAAATGATTTTAGTGGATGTAGCCATAATAGGTAAAATGTCATTCTTTTTTTAAAACAATACAAAATAATCAATATTTTAGTGGAAGGAGATTAAAAAGGAAAAGCGGCTGGATAGTCTGGGTTTAAAGATAAGTAGTGCTCTTGAAAAAGTAGATTTTTTTCTTCTTGAATTTTGAATATTTATGATTTGTTTTAATTAAATGAAATTGCTAGTTTTTGTCCGATATTTAGAAAATTTTTTAATTTTGCGCACAAATGAACCCACCTGGCAAGAGCCGAATTAATGTCAAGCCCCAAATAATTCAAATGTAATTCAACATATTACCGGCAGTGGATTGTTTGTTTCAATGTCTAATTCAATAGTGAATAGCTTTTAAATCTGTTGTTGAGTACATCTTGAAGTCATGTTATGTTGTTAAGTGGATATCTTTAGATATTTGCGTGTTTTTTGCTTTCATAATAACAGACAGGAACGGTACAAAATGTGTCTTTATACCGGAAACTTGATCCAGTTTTGGTTGGTGTCCTGCCAGTACCACGTCCACAGAGTGCTATGACCCTTCCGGGGACGGCCTGGTTGTGCTTCAGACACTGTGCAAAGACGTCGCACATCCAAGTCTCTGTCATTCTTGTTGTTATTAATGACACCGAAAGACTCCACGCCGAATGTTATCGTCACTTTGTAGAAAACACTGTTCATGTTTTCCTCAGAACTGCAAGAAGTTAAGAAAATGTCTCCTAAGTAAGTGCTTGGTTAAAAACAGAAATAATAACTATGAGAGTATGCAACAGCATCCCTTCTGAGGCATATGCTGGGGAACAACACTCGAAAGCAAAGAGGCCAGGAAGCATTTGTAAACTGGAATAATGCCAATTGAAGACCAATCTACTCTGCCCTGCCTAATAAGTGGGCAACAAGTGTACTTCTTCAATGCCATACTACATATCACGACCATGCATGCATGTCCGCTTAAAGGGAATGTACATCATTGGCTTTTGCTGTAATTTTCAGAAATGAACCATTTGAGGGGTTAGTATAATAGATCAAATATTGTTACACTGACATGTTTGAAGTTTTGTGTTCGAAAATGCTGGAAAAACCAAGAAAAACAAAAATGTTCAAGTAGTCTGGTTCCTTGACTCCATTAAAGATAAAATGGACCAATTTATAGATGCCGGAAAATTGTAAGGTAAGGGAACCAGTCTAGCTGGCCTGCACCTGTTCATGAACATGTAACCAATAGCAAACAAAATTTGGACTGAAAAAAGTGTAAAGTTGGAGCAGTAATTGAAAAATAGTTAGGTTTTTCCAACGGTGGTCGGCCGACCACCGTTGGAAATGTATACAAAAATACCATTTTCTTGAAAATGACTTCACGCCAGGCGCCATAATTTTACAGGATGCTTTAGACTGTCATTTACCAACAGCCTATTAAGGTATTTCGTAAAAACTTGGTAGTTTTATTTTTCGATGTTTGCAAATGTTGTATATTCCCTTTAATGATGCTACACAAAAGGAGACTGAGCAGCATATTAGTTCAGGTTTAAAAGTGACTGCCACATTTTGAAGGAAACTCACCAAGCAAGAATGGCTCCACTGAACTGTCCATTTCTGACATCGCAGAACTGTTCCTCGATTGTGTCATTTGGCTGCCGCGTGAAGTCCAGCCAGTCAGCGCACATGCCATCTCGAATCTGCCACTGGTATGGACTGGAGCAGTGCCTGAAACCCCAGTGGGAGGTGAATTTGCAGACCCCGTCCACAAAGAAGGAGCAGATCTTGGGCTGTTTGTTCTGCCACGGCCTAGCTTGTTGGGTTGTCTGTCCGTATGGCTCCTTCCCCTTCGAGCAATCTTCGTTGTCATCATGATAATTATCTTGTGAAGATGTTTCATCAGCAAGCTCGAAACTCAGCAGGAAATTCATCAACTTTTCCTGGGGCTCTATCCCACTGTCCCCGTGCTCTTCCTGGTCTGAGGTTTCGGTGGGCGGCTTTCTCAGAGTTGCAGCAAAAAGCTGCCTGAATTTATGCAGCGATTGTCCGTCTAGGTGCTCAATCCCAAATCGTCTGCGGAACAAGGCTCTTGGTTGCCTGCCACTGAGGTCGTGGGAGAATTTGCAGGCACTCCCAGCTCGGCAAGGCTGCAGTATGTAGTGGCTGTCAGGAATATACAAGATAAAAAATTCAGTCGAAATTGAATGGAACATCCACCTATGTGCCATTTTACATCTTACTCCTGTTTAAAAATGAAGTACTTAGCATAAATGTAACTTGGCCAGTGGGAGGCCTCTTGATTTGTGCACAATTTCAAACAACACAAAGCAATTTTCTGCTCAAAAATTCTGAAAAGGGGTGGAGTGGTGCACAATGCCCCCCCCCCCCTTTAGTTTGGTACGCAACTATAAACTGTCTGCATTGATTTTTCACAATCAGGGCGGGATATTTCTAAAAGTGGGAGAAGCCTCATCTGTATAATATCATGCAGCATTATTTCACTTTTACATGCCAGCGACTCGACCACATTTTAGCAGCGTCCTTCACAATTCAGCTTCTCAGCTTCACTTAAGGATGATTAGCTTCCCAAATTATTATTAATATGATTTTATCTTACATAGCACAAAACCAGAAAATAAAGGTTTACGATATCTCAATAAGGAGCTAGCCTTGAAGCTGGATTAACAAACTGGATGCGCATATCAGAAGTGAACATTGTGAGCATTCTATGTTGTTATCAGTGGCATACACCAGGGAAATGCGCAGGGGGGGGGGCATCATGGTTCCCCCAACTCAAAGCTTGAGGCCCTCCCTCCCCCAACTTGTGTTCCTGCTCAGAATTTGGGGAGGGAAGATAAGACTTTAAATAAGTTGTTGAAAACCTGTCAAGTAACCCCTCGAGAAAATGAAATGGGGCTAAATTATACTGTTTTTTTTATAGAAAAGTACTGGATATATTACCGGCAGATATGGAGAGAGTTACAGTCATCCTCTCTGCTACAGCCGTCTTTGCGGTACAGATACGCTGTGCAAAGCTTCAGCTCATCATTGGAGGGCATTTTGTTGTTTCTCCTGTTGGGTCTGCCTCTTCTCCTACATTGAGCCTTCTTGCCTGGCTCAGCCATGGTCTATGCTGATTGTGACGAAGCCTGTAATTTGGCAGACTGGGACCCTAGTGCAGAAAAACAAGCAAAATCAAATCAGGCCAAATCTATACTCACTCTTTAGCCGACAACATTCTCCGAAATGGCCATAAAAAAGCGAAAATAAGGTCCCCAGTACAGTATTTCACCAGCCAAGTTCGAGGTCTCATTTTATTTTTAAAGCTGAAGTTTCTTCAACATTAATATTGAGAGAAGCCACTTATTTCAATTTGAAGCAAAAACTTTCCTAACAGTAACAGTCAAGTGATCCGGCACTGTCGATTATCCAGAATTGTTGCAGTGCACTGCAGTCAGCTCACTGTACACTCTAGACCCGTGAGCACAGACATGCTTGATGCTACGCCACGTTCACGGATAAAGTTAAAGCACACAACCAATTCAAGATGAATCGCGACATACCACCGGAGTTAGCACTTAACTCCACCGCGCCTTTGAAGGCTTTGTCTCCGTCTGCTGCTAATGCATGAATGTTAGGGGGTGGAACCCATTGGGAATGAAATTATTGCACGGCTGTATATTGCGTGCTTTGGGGAATCCCCGTTTTTTGTCTGAATGATGTCTAGAGGGCGCTGTATACAAAGCACAGGGGAAGGCGCGGTAACTACGAGGAGGCTTAATTTAATAAAGAAAAGTTTATATATAAAAGAAAAGTTTATTTCTGCGAATCCGCACGATTGCCGGCTGAGATATTATGTGTGACACAAGGAAAGTCGATCACGCCTGGCCGAGTCCGTATCTGATCAGGGAGCTGGGATGATCGTCGTCTACGGTGTCAGTATGATTGCAATCTTATTGCAATGAGATATCATCTCCGGATCCTCGAGGTTATTACATAATGGATTATAGAAGCAAGGTCTTCCAGACAATATTACACCTTCAGCCTAACACCTGGGATCATAGTTGCAATTATTTCTAGGCGAGAAATTTTATTAAATCAAAGCTTCGTCCTCGGCAACAAGTCTACGAATGAGAATGGAAGATTTGTTAGAACTTCACATAAAACCCAAATTCGCGAAAGCACATACATTTAAAAAAAAAGGAACATGCTGTTTGAATCGTAGTCAAAGGTGGCCCAGAACCAAATTTTCGGCGGGTGTGTGTGTGGAGGGGGGGGGGGGGGGGGGGAGCAGTTCCACCTCGAAAGACATATTTGCTTTTTTTTCTCTTAAATAATGAAAGGTTTGCGGAAACACCATGTGCGAATAATTTCTCAACTAAGAGAATGGTTCTGAAAAGAACCAGAGGTATAAACTCTCCTGGAGACGGTCAGAGCATACTGGCCGGAACGTCGAGTTCATACCTCTGGTTCTTTTCAGAACCATTCTCTTAGTTGAGAAATTATTCGCACATGGTGTTTCCGCAAACCTTTCATTATTTAGTATCTCCACCATGCAAAGCCTCAAATCTTACTTTTTTTTCTTCTTCTCAAGTTTCTATTTTCATAATATTTATACATGTAAAATAAATATACATGCCCTGCTAGGGGCGGGGTGTCCGGGGCGTCCTCCCACCCGGAAGATTTGAAATATACGATGCTTTCTGCTATATTCTAAGGCAATTTGCGAATACCTTTCAGAACTTTATTATTCCATTTATTTATTTATTTTATATTTTTTTTTTTAGCCCTATTTAGTATCACAGCATAAGTCAGCGGTTGAATGAGGGGGGGGGGGGGGGTTGCAGACGCTCAAAATCGTTATAATAGTTTTATTCCGTAAAAACAAAGCTTACAATTTTGGGGGAAGAAAACGGGGTGTGCAACTTTAATATTTCATTAATCCTAATTCGTAGGGGAAAAGGGTGGCATCGATTCCAAAAATATCCACTGCAATTCACTTCTGGTTTAAATATTAAAGAATGCTTTCTTTTTTAGAGGGGGGCTGCCCTAGAAAACGGCACGCACAGTGTTTCAGAGCAAGCTTCATCAAGTTATTGACTCACAAGAGTTATTTTAGATCCACAACATACTTTTATTTTTATTTTTATTTTTAAAGACGTTAAAAGTGAAGTGACTCATTATTTACTTAACGAATGTGCAAAAGTGTGAGCGAGATTATATGTGACATGAAAAAAACAACCGTAGTGTGAATTTAAAGTATACATTACAATAAGTTAATACTATTATCACAATACATGTACATAATTATTCTTGCGAGTATAGTCCAAATTTTGTCCAAGTCCACATTTTGTATTAGAATATTTAAATTATTAAGTTCTTACAGCCACTGCAGAATATAAGAGCACACACAAGATTTCATACATTAATCAAAATGAGAAAGTTTCAAAGCAGAACTCTATGTTTATGACAAATTTCTTCAGTCGTTCTTTTTGCATTATTTGTCTTTCGTGATGTACAGTTATTGAATGTGCACAATGTGGTAAAAGTACATTTAAACTATTCGCTGAATTTCCAAAACTTACTTAACCCGCCACACTTTCTGTGACATGTGTTGATTGAAAGAAAGATAGGAGTTACAGAAAATTGCAATGTCAATTGTGGACATAATTATGACAACTAACACAATAACGAGGGCCACTTATGCTACCGTCACGACAGTTTTTCCAATGGTTGTAATTCTCCTTTTTTTTTTTTACAGTACCTGAAACCACCGAAAAGTTTTTGAAATGTATATAAATGGACATGCATAGGCTTATATACATGTAATATGTGTTGAATCATTTCTTTCCTTCTTTTTTTAAATTTTTTTTTAGGTCACCCTCAAAATCCATTAAAAATGGACGGAAAAAGTTACCTAACTTTTCAGTCCACTATTTGATGGACATTTGAGGATAATGTCAAAAAGCAATATAAATAATCAACTCAAATTATCTTTTGCAAAAGGCTGCATGTCCATTCATGTGTTGAAATTTTACTTTGGTGGTTCCATGTATTTAATCAAAAATCACAACCACATGCAAACGTGTAAACTTTATAATTAAGATTGGGCATGAACATGTAATCGGCGTTTCATCACTCAGTTGGTTACAGTCGAATTCGTATTGTTCTGATACTTGGATGTTTGTTGCTTGGTGTTGGAAGTTCCGGAGCCGGAGATGGTTTGGTCTGCTCTCTCGCCAAGAAAGAAGCGTTTGATACCGCGCTGAAACTGGTTGTACTTAAAGCTGTAGATGATGGGGTTGATGCAGCAGTTGGCAGCTACCATGGACGTACTGAAGACATTTAATGGACTGGTGAACTCCAACTGAAGCCAGCCCACGTTGAACATGAAGAAGGTGATCTGGCTGGGGCTCCAGCATATCAAGAAGACGACGAAGACGATAACCAGGGTCTTGAAGGTGTTGCGACGGGCACGGTAGAGCGCGTCTTGCGGGTCGTAGACGGCGGCGTTGTCGGGGCGTTGGGCAGGCTCGTCCGGTGACTGGTCGTCTTTGGCTCGGGGCTTGATGATAGGCGCCGGGGCCGGGGCCAACCTCAGGGCGCTGCGCTTCAGCGACACAGTGATGTGGCTGTAGCAGAACAACATCACGCCAGCCGGGAGGAAGTACTGGAGGCAGATCAAGAGAGGCCCCATGACGTGGGACACAGAGATGCGCTGAAACCTACAGGCTCCGTCCACCACGGTGTAGATTAGGAAGGAGTAAGACTTGAGCGCAATGCCGACACCCCAGGCGGTCAGCATGATACCGGCAGCCGCCCGGCGACCGAAGAACGCCAGGTAACGCAGGGGGTAGACGATGGCGAAGTACCGCTCCAGCGTCAGCCCGAGCAGGTTGAAGGTGGAGACGACGAAGAAAAGCCATAGTAGCGCATCTCCGGTCCAAAGCCGGCACAGCACCTCGCCTGCCGCGGTGCTGGATGCGGGGTCTGGGTCTGGGATGTTGCTGCCTAGGAGCAGCAGGAGGGAACCGACCAGATCGATGGCAGCTTGGTGGCAGATGAAGGCATTGGTCAAGGAGTGCATAAACTTGACTTTGGCTATGACTAGGATGACTAGACCGTTGTCCAAAATGCCTAGGATACCTATGATGGTCTTAATGATGCGGAGAGCCAATATTGGTTCCGCCATTGCCTCGGTGGGATACAGATGAAAACTGTGACTGATCGACGAGCCCCAAACTACCTGCTTCGGTAAAAGCCTGTTGAAAGTATTGAGTCTACTTTGCTTGTGTGAACAATACCGAGAGAACCACTTGAACCCTCTGATTAGATCATTATAACCACGCAGCATCCTCATTATCAATGGCTCATCAATCTGGCGTCAACTTCAGCGCATTCGCCTGCCACAGCCAATCATGTTCGCTTGAACATGATAGGCCGGAGGGCGTAAAGCTTATGACAAGAAGATTAGCTGATGAGGTTTTCTGCATGGGTAGGCCTACTAAAAGGTGTCTGCTTTTGTACGCCACGATGCTAAAACTCGTTCGCTGTAGCCATTCATTAACACGTACTCCTATAGCCTGACCGATGACCACTTTTAATTAAAACACTGTGATACGTTTCTCTTTGCTGTTCATGTTTCCAGGTGTGGTTACCATAATAAAGTCGTGACAGACTTGATACCTGATTAAAACATGCATGGGCACTAGAAACAAAATGCTTAAGTTTTGTTAAGACCAAAAAAAAAAAGTCTCCGGTTTCTGGTATGGAGCTTGCCCAAAAAGTGGTGCGGCGACGCGGCTTTTTTTTTTTTTACCTGACTTTTTTGCTTCAAATGTCGGCTGATGACTGCAAATGGTGCCCGACTAAACTTAGCGCAAAATGTACGGGAGTCCAGAGAGTCCACATAAAGCTTATTCTCGATCATATCCCTATCTAAAAACACGTTAAAATTGTGCTGCAGCAGGATTTCAGTCAAACCAGTCAGTTTGGCGGTTTTGAGACATCATCTTTTATTGAAAAAAAACCCTTTTTCATTTTGCCGACGCGCATGGCTACGGCGACGCGCGCGCATACCAGAAACCGGAGAGTAGTATGAGATGGGAGGGTACCAGACTTTACCCCGCCCATTATCCCCCTTCTCCAATAATCTCTGACCCCTGGCCCCACCCTCTGCCCCCACCCACCCCCTCCCAATGATCTCCCTCCCAATATCTCAGTCTCAGCCCCACGCCAAAACCGGGGACTAATATCTCTCGTCTTGAAGATCTCTCTCTGTCCAGCTGGTGAGTCTGATTGCTTATAAATCTAAAAGTCTGACCTCTTAAAAAAATTTAAAAAAAATTATATTGATATATATAAATGATGGATATGATTAGGCCAATCGTTAAGGGATTTTCTAGATGGAATAAAGCCACGCTGCGCGATTACGTCCAGCGATATAATGTACCGTACGATCAAAATGTTGCGCTTACGCGTAAAGTCTACATCAACGGGATAAAAAAATACGAAGCTCAATTTAGAAACTTGAGGAAAAAGAAGCTACATGAGCTCAAACAGATTGTAGACGATTATGATCTAGAATATAACCCGTCGGGTTATAAGGGTCGATTTTTGAAAAAAGATTTACTCTCGGCGATTCAAAACTCTAGGCAACCCGAATATTTTCAAGAGGCTGAGTTTAGAGCGACGAGGAGATTTAGAAATAACTTTAGAAACTGGGAACTGATTCCTAGACTTTTTAACGACGATTTAGTCAAGTTTTTTGATACGCACAAAGATCAAATTGTAAATAAAATCAAGTCAGAATTGAGAGAGCTGAGAGGTTTAAAAATGGAGCTCACAATCAAAATAAAATACGAAAAAACTAAACCGGATGGTACGATCGAAACGATCGAAGCTACACATTTTACCGATCAGAGAGTCGTTTTAAATCAAAGTCAAATAAAACAGGTTTTAAAAGAAGACATCGACCAGATATTTAAAAAGGATGAAAGGTATACGAATCAAGGATCGGGTTGGGTTTTAAAAAAGATAATGGCGTTGTATATCAACATCAACAGGTTTAACCCCGTGAGAGGTAGTTCTTATATTGACCTACCAAAATGTATCAAACAGAAAACGGCGATGATAAACATTAAAAACAAAGACGACGAGTGTTTGAGATGGTGTTTGAGAGCTGCTCTTGGGTTGTATACGGATAAAGTAAAAAATAACATAAAAAACGATCCTAAATATAAAATTCATACAGAAGAACCTGTTGTATACACCAAAGACGACGGACTCAAATTTAAAGGCGTAGATTTTCCAACACCGATCGACCAGATACCAAAGATAGAAAGACAAAATAATTTAACGATAAACGTATACGGTTATGAGGAGGAAATATATCCGTTATACGTGTCTAAAAACTATAAACCAGAGTCACGACCTATCGATCTGTTTTTGTTTTCTGAGGGCGACAAGCATCACTATTGCTGGATAAATAATTTTTCGAGATTGATTTACAACGTTACAAAACATAAAAGTAAGAAATATTTTTGTCGAAGGTGCCTGTGTCATTATAGAACGCAAGTAAAATTAGATAGACACATGACCGATTGTAACGGTATAGATACACATCCGTCAAAGATTGTATTTCCTACCGCTAAGCGAAAATATGTAAATAACGAGTGGATAGTCAACGAAAACGATGTGCCAATATTAGAATTTAAAAACTACAGGTTTAAACAAAAAGCACCGTTTGTAGTTTACGCCGACTTTGAATCGATATTAGAAAGAAACTCGAACGATAAAAAGAATAACACGCAAAAGACAAACATTCACAAAGCTAGCGGTTATTCGTTGGTAGTAGTTAGATGCGACGGCACCAATGCGTATCAAGAGACTTATAGAGGTAAAGATGCCGCATCAACGTTTGTACATAAAATGTTAAAAATACAAAGCGACATAAATTGCATATTTAAAAAACCCCAACCCATGAAATTTAATGAGCGAGCTAAAGAACATCATGATACAACAAACACGTGTTGGATTTGCGAGAAACCAATTTATCCCAATTACTCGAGCAACTGTCAGTGCCAGAAACCCAAAAAACCAAAAACAGAAAAACAAATAAAAGAACATCAGTACGAAAACAAAAATGGATTTACAGAGTCTAAATGCCTCAACTGCAAAAAGAAAATCAACAAATTTAGAAAGGTGAGAGATCACTGCCACGTCACGGGTAGATATAGAGGTGCCGCGCACGCCTACTGCAATCTAAAATTACAAGTTAAACCAGGTTTTACCCCCATACCGGTCGTCTTTCACAATCTGCAAAATTACGACGCTCACTTGATCATGCAGAGTATTTCAGAGTACGATGAAAAGGAAATACAAGTTATCGCTAGAAATTCGGAAAAGTATATTTCGTTTTCGATCGGAAATATGCGATTTATAGACTCGTTTAATTTTATGGCGTCTTCGTTGGATAGATTATCTAAAGCTTGTCCAAGAGAGTCGTTTAAACTACTCAGAGAACATTTTAATCGTCAAAACATCGACTCGTTGTTACAAAAAGGAGTTTATCCGTATGAATACATGGACTCGTTTGATAGATTTCAAGAGACCAGCCTACCCCCCATCGAACAATTTTACAGCAGCCTAAAAGACGAAAATATATCGCGAGAAGACTACGACAGAGCTAAACTGACGTGGAACGAGTTTAAAGTTAAAAACATGGGGGAATATCACGATTTGTACGTCACTACCGATACGTTATTACTGGCATGCGTATTTGAAAACTTTAGGAAAACGTGCATTACAAACTACGCGTTAGATCCGGCTAATTACTATACAGCACCAGGATTGTCGTGGGATGCCTTGTTAAAACACTCGGAAATTAAACTCGAACTATTGCAAGACGTAGACAAACATTTATTTTTTGAAAAAGCAAAAAGAGGTGGTATCTCAAGCGTGGGTGGTATGAGATACCACAAAGCCAACAACAAATACCTACCCGACCATAATCCAAACGAGCCGTCGAGTTACATCACCTACCTCGATGCAAACAATCTGTACGGCTGGGCCATGAGTCAATACCTGCCGTACAAAGACTTTAAATGGGCGTCTACAAAAACGTTTACCGAGTCTAAGATATTATCTCTCAGGAAAACGTCAAACACCGGTTACTGCTTTGAAGTAGACCTCGATTACCCGGACAATCTCCACGACCTGCACAACGATTATCCCCTAGCGCCAGAAAATATCGTCATACCAAAAGAATGGATGTCTGATTATCAAAACGAGTTATTGGATACCGAACCTAGTAGCAACGTGCAAAAATTAACGTGTACCCTTAATCCTAAACAAAAATATGTTTTGCACTACGTCACGTTGCAGTTGTATCTCAAACTCGGCTTGAAACTTAAAAAGGTACATCGAGTGCTGCAATTTAAACAAGCTCCTTGGATGGCATCTTACATAGACAAAAACACGCAACTCCGAACAAAAGCGACCTCTGATTTTGAGAAAGACTTTTTTAAACTGATGAATAACAGCGTGTTTGGTAAGACGATGGAAAACGTCAGAAACCGGATTGACGGTTACCTGCTCAGAGACAATAACGATGACGATCGAGATAAATACCAAAAAATTATACAGAAACCGAGCTACAAAACGACGACGTCATTTTCAGAATGCAAATTGTCATTTGTCGAAAAGTACAAGACTAAAACCGTGTTAAACAAACCAATCTATTGCGGAGTGAGTATCTTGGATCTATCTAAGACGCTGATGTATGATTTTTATTACAACCATTTGAAAGACAAGTACAAAGAGAAAATCAGGTTGATGTACACAGATACGGACAGTTTGGTACTCGTAGTGCACACTGACGACGTGTACAAAGATATGCAGCAAAACGGTCAACAATACGACCTTTCGAATTATCCGACGGATCATCCTTTGTACGATCCAACCAATAAGAAAGTGATCGGTAAATTTAAAGACGAGTTTGGAGGTAAAATAGTCAAAGAAGTTGTTTGTATAAGACCTAAAATGTACTCCATTTTAACCGCTGACATCAACCTGAAAAAAGCCAAGGGTGTCACAAAATCGGTCACCTCTAAGAAATTAAAACACCGACACTATTACGACTGCATCTTAAACAAGAAATCTCATTATGAAACCATGACTCACATTAGGTCG